ATGTGGATTATATTTAGACTGTGCTGTAGGTCGATAGATATGTGAACATGTACGATTTTTTCTTTTTACATGACAAGAATTCACCAGTGGACAACCCCCTTTGCCACTGCGCTCTACAGGGTTATCGTCCATTGTTTAGAATTGTCCCTGAGCTCGCCGCACACCACAACGACACATCCATCGCACTGGACGTTCGTACTCTCTGCACACTCGATCGAGTCGCAACAGCGAATGATGTTGACCCGCCAAAGCAGGAGATCGGGCGGATAGTAGAAAACGCTTTTGGCGAGATGCGGTAGCATCTTCCACCTTGGCCGTGATGTGACGTCTTGATCTTTCATCCTGAAAGCAAGAGAAGCATCGTGTAGCAACTGCTCATTGATCCCGACAACACCGTCACAGGTGTGAATTGTCTAGTTCAGTCTCCCCCGCACTTGTGAAAAATGCATACCGTTATCCTCTATGAATGGTTTTTCCACCAAAATGCGTTTATACACCCAGGCTCATTGCAATGCAAATCGCTCAATTTGATATGTCCCGCCTGCCGCCCAACACCAAGTGGGTAACTTTTCTGCGACCCCAGAGGTCAAGAAATGGGGGAAAAGTGGTGGTTACGTTATCACAACTGGAGGGCACGCTTTGGCAATTCCTTTGGGGAAACACTTGTGATTGCACAACTCCCAGTGATCTGACTTGGGAACCATAATCAACTCCAAGGGTCACATCACATTGCTAAGGAGCATGGAAACACTAGTTTGCAAAGATGCGCCCCTCCATGCTGTTGGAGCTCTTGATGGACGTGTGCATCACGATGCATTTCAACTTCCTGGTGGCTTTTTCCATGGAATTTTTTGTTTTGTTTTATATTTTACTCGTATTGCAACAATCTATCCAATGTATCATTTCAGATATCGATCAATGTACATTTAAAGTTAAAAGACAGTGTTAGTGTGCAGCATTGCGGCGCATTCCGTGCAAACCACGAAAAAAAATGTGAAACGATCGGAGATCTCGTTCGGAGCACATCGCTCACGTGAAGGGAAATACGCCCCACACACACTCTCCACTATTCAAAACCCTGAACCGTGAGGGTAGATGAACGTGCCACGAAGGTTTTGCATTTGGGCGATGTTTGCACCATCCCTGTTTTAGCACAAGGATGACGCCATCGGACACCCCCCCCCCCTCCCGCATCTCGCACGGTGTTGAGTTTTGTCGTCGCTGTGCGTTCTTGGACTTGTGGAACATTTTCCTTTTCTTGGTGCCATTCCTCATTTCATGACCAAATACTTTCAACGAGTAAAATTGTGCACTGAGCCTGCTCACTTGGGTTCTTTTTTAGGGATTGGTAAAGTATTTTGTCTCTCGCAGCGGTGTAGAGTCATAGTTTATTGCTTGGTCATGCATTGTGTGTAGCTGTTTTAAATCTATACATTACCAGCAGAAGAAAAAAAACCCATGTACTCATTTGTACAGATTAACTACTTTTGTCGGCAATATTAGTTCATAGGTCAGAGCAACATTCGGCACAACTCAAGGTGTCACATATTTAGCCATACCAGTTTGCATACTTCAATAATAAAAGTGGCTAATGTGATGAACTGTGCTAACTAAGCTCATTAACTAAGCTCATTGCATAATTCACCGGTTCTTTCCGACTCAAGAGTTGGCTTTGCCATCTCAGGTGGTACAGACCGGCAAAATATTTGGTCTGGGTCCGTATGCATCGTCGGGCGCGATCGTTGGCATGAATAGGTAAAACTGCTGGGATGAGAGAAGCTCCCATACGTTTCTACTTCCTATTTGTAAAACATCGAGCCAGGCTACGGCCGTGGGAATTCTCGGAGCCGCAGTGCTGATGAGATGGCGGAGCCCTTTAAAACCGTCTTGGGTTCACAAAGTGATACGTACAGACTTCTTAAGATGTTGTTTGTTTTGCCTCGCCCGTGTAAGTGTTGCTGATGTCGGTTGCATAATCCCATATGCACATCGTGCATGCGTGTTGGCTTACTACCAGCAAACTGCAGCATGTTTTTTTGCCGTTGCTCATTAGTGCACGGGTTGATGCACCGCGCATCCTGATGGCTCACCGAACTTCTAGAGACCGGGCATCACCTGGTCCCCAGTGTAGTAGACCACAGCTAAATTCCTAGAGCTCATCTCAGCCTGGATCCAAATGCACCACAGCTCAGCTGCCGCAAATGTGACAAGTGGAATATGAGAAAATGCACATTGCTCTGGGTAAAATGGCAAGTGTTCAATATTAATCCTTGTGAGCACTTCGTTGTTTGGCTACATTAAAAGTGCTGCTCCATAGCATCGATTATCCTAATTGTTGCCCTCCTGTATCCACAGTATAAACGGTTTGCTGAAGACGAAACCGTGTACAATACAAAGTTAGCTGCTACTGCCATGTTTGAGCTGTACGGTTTGCTCAGATTTCTGAAATGTTACAAGCTCACCACTTGCTCATGCTAATTTAAGAATTATGTGTTCCTTAAGGTCGTAGTCTATAACATTTCCATTTGAAAAGTGATTTTATCACCTACATAACAATATTAAACGCATTATCAATATATTTTGTGAATTGCATAACATTTGAAGTGGTAACAGAAACGTGTATTTTTACGATTGCTATGTCCACAATTTCCTCTGCAGATTTAAACGGAATTGCACCCAAACATTTAACATTTTTGGCGAGATTTAAACTTGCTAACGAGTGTTAAAGCACGTTAAATATTCACCCGCTCCAGGTACTGAAAAACATCGCGTTTTAAAGGGTCGGGTCGTGTATAGTTTCTACGGTGTTACTTTTTTTATGCTGTTTTGAAAGTGACCGTGTTTCACCGTCTTTTTGCGCACTCACAATATTGAGAGAGAAAAAACGGCAGTGGAGCGTCGCCTTCGCTGCCTCCCCCCACGTGGTTTCGCGAATGGGCAGCAGTAGCAGCAGCAGGGCTTTACAATCGGTACTCTTTACAAATGCGTAAAACCAAGGGCTCTCTTTGTACATTGAAGTATTTCTCCGTGGCTATGGGCGGGACGTCGTCGTTTTTTTGCGCACTGCAAACCCAAAGGGCGCTGCACCGAGTTCTGCCAACCTCCAGTTGGTGCAGCCCCGCGGGGAGATGGCAGTGTACGTTGTACATACGGTCTCACCGTTAGTATTTACTTGCAGCTTGTTTATATATATGTGTGTGTGTGTATACGTTAGTGTTCGTTGTTTAGAATTGTCAAACAGGTACACACATTTACTCGCTCGTGCGTAACAATAATTATCTTTCGTTTATTTGTAAAAAAAAAAAATCTGCTTTATGCTGCTGCTGATGATGAGAATAATAATCCTAGGAAACGGCCAGTATGTGACGCTTGCTGTTAGGTCGGATGAATTGCAAGGCACATTTTTCAAGATCACTGGCACCAAAACATTGTTTTGTTGAAGATCAACTCTCACATTGTGACCTGTCAACTTCGTAACTGACCTGCAGCCACCCAGTGACTGAAGTGTTTTTATATTTGTATTGAAATGTCACCAACCTCACGCTACTTGTGAGAGCACGTGGCCCGAGAAACGCGGTTGATCCGCGGAGTGCTAAATCATCCACGTGGCCGTAACCTCCGAGACGTTGCCAAGAACTGTGCACAAGTCACTTAGCATCTGTAAACATTTCGTCATGGAAGTTCAAAAGGTTACATGGGGAGAGGGGTTCGCGTTGTCCTTTCAGTTCTGTGCTAACGTTCTGCAATGTAAGGCTACGCGTAGAAAACTTAAACCTCCGCAGAGTTAGAGCATCTTTACGTCTGACGCACGAGTTCCAAATGTGTAGATACATGTATCAGCACATTTCCTTTACAATGTAACTTTAAAAAATAGTACTTCGCACGGTCCTGTACATTAAGTTCGACGTGAAATGCCTCTCGTGTGTGAATTACGTTGCTTGCCTGCTTGTTTGTTTTTAACCAGCGTGAATCGTGAAAGCTGTCGTGCATTTCTGCTCTTTCATTTACTAAGCTAGAAAATACTAACAGTACGTTGCAATACTTGAATTTTATACTGTACGCATATGCCATTCTCTCTCTCCCCCCCCCCCCTTGTTTTAAAAACCCACGAGGTGCGTTCACGTGGCGCAGAGGCGGCGTGCTGGGCGCAGTCCATGCCCCCCCCCCCCCCGAGTTGCAAAGCGCAGCAACTTTTTGCTTTTCTCTCGACCCTTGCTGAACGCGCGCAGGCAGGGGGGGGGGGGGTGTACACCGTGTGTTGGACGTTCGTATTTTCAATGTGAAAAATAAAAAACGCGACTAGAGAAAAATAAAAACTCCGCGTAAACCTTGTTGCATCACTGGGGGCTGCCACCCGCTGCTCGGTGCCTGCTCGCTTGAGCCGTCACGGAGCGTCGGGGCGTGTGGGGTTCGTGAGTAGCACCTATGAGGGCCGGCACTGCACACCAGAGGGTGGGTGGCTCAGACCATGATGCCGCCTTTGTCTCCCCCAGTGGCCATGGTTTCTCACCGTGCCAGGTACCCAAGACTAGTTTGACCTAGGCGAAACCCAGAACCGTTGTAGGTAATCCATCACTGGTGTTGGCCGCGAGCGGTAATCGAACTCTGGTCACGTAGCGCAGTGCATCAATTGCTGGACTACCGGTCCCACACAGCTGCAAATACAAAAATCACCCTTCTACCATCCACACATTCCTCCATCTGAAGTATATTCTATTCATCGCACGAACATAGGTGAACACGTAGAGCTATATACTCTTACCATCATAATTATCTAACTAAAATGATTTGTCGGGCAAGATTGTTGTGGTCAATATCAGCATCACCGTTATTTGTTGTCAAGATAGGAAATATTTCCTGGCAAGCCCTGTTGCCAAATCCACATTATATAACGTTAAGTATTGGGCCGACGCCAGTCGCCTTCGCAGTTATTATATCAGTTGTGTGCAAGCGCTTCCTTGCCATGCTTGCTGTATGCAGATGACAAAGCCAGACAACAATTTGCAGGAGTTAATATTTTAATGTTTCTGTTTGGTATTTAATAGAATCATAAGGAAAAACAAAACTTCAAATCAAGTATTGTTTACCTTTACAGATTACAGCCTTTATCTTAAAACAGGCAAAGACAATTACTCTTTGATCAGAAAGCACATTTCTGCTTTACTGTTAACAAAGACATCACAGTTGCTGATAAAGTGTGCAATATTTAAAAAAAAACGTAGATTAAAATATACTACGTAAAGATCAATTTTACAGGCATTGAGAAATGCGAGTTTGTAAAATGCCCATTAGTTTGATTTTGTAAAACAGTATGAAATGGCCGCTGTGTGCGATTTTGAAAAACGACACGTAAAGGGGTTCTTCGCTTGAATGGTTTCCCTACGAATGAGCAGATCGGCTTTCGTAAATTAAACGCAATCAACAGAAGGTGTGTACAGGATTAGCTGCACGTGTGGTAAATGTTATGTTGGGCAAACAGGACGAATGATCAGCACGAGACTAAAAGAACGTCAGAGAAATATTCAATCCTCCCAAATACAACTGTCAGCAGTAGCAGAACAGGCGTGCCAACAAGGACACTCAATTGATTTTGATTATGTTGAAGTTTTGTGCAAAACTAGCTACTACTGGCCAAGACTAATTAGAGAATATCTAAATTTAAAGAAATCAAAATAACTTAAACCGTTCGGCTACCGCCTTAGTGCTACGTGGAAGCGAATAATCAAATAATACATTATTTAAATGCATGCCTACAAAGGGCAGCGTACTTCAATAGGGATTACCGTTGGTAGGGCTATTTTAATAAACAATAGACAGGAAGGACAAGTTCAAAGGGCTCGCATAATGCACATGCATAATGTACGTTGCCTCAGTAATCCCCCCCCCCCGCCACCACATTGTGCAAGAGCGCAAAAGCGTGGTCAACACATCTACGCCTCTATATAAGGAACGAAACAGGTGGACTTCTCCACAAATCTGGCTGTCGCCTGATGAAGCTAGTCGTAATTACTGGCGAAACGTCGTTCTCAAGATTGTAAATGTTGTGGCTTGGCTCTCCAACACACCGGCGTGCTGTACTAGTGACGAATTGGCCACGTTCTGTTCACGTGACAACCCTTACTAGTTGGCTATGTCGGGTGGTGGTGGGTTTTAACGACACATTTATATATTTACGTGATCTAACCCTAAAAAACCTCTTATGGCGTACCGTTAGATTACAGTGGCAGTGTCAAATGTACGCCGTGAATGAACATTCTATCGCGATGCAGGAGAAACGCAAGGCGTTCCTGCAACACGCACAGGAACAGATGCCCCACACAAACATACGAGACAGCTCATCCGTCCCACCCCTTTGGAAATCTGTCGCACTGCTGGCAATGGGGACACACATTGGTAAAAGCACACAGACATGAACATTCGACAACACGCGAATTGTGCCCTAAGTGTTCACCCTTATTGTCAAGGCTGACAGGATGCTTGCGTTTGGGTGTCAAGCTTATGTCGGGAATGTGTTCAAAACCAACCACAAATCAAACAGGAAGTGGTTACAAAGAACCATAAAATGCAAATCGTACATCGGCTTCCGAACACGAGCAAACACAAGGCGGCGTAGTCTTCTGCAGGAAGGAGCGATGCTTTAGGAAAACACTTCCTTCTGTTTGAAGTATGCCTCAAATCTTGCCAGTGCGTAATCCTACACGCATGCACACACACACGTTTGGCAACACGTTTACAATCATTCTCCTTGCTCGTCCGTATCATAGTTACGTAAAAAAGTGTTGTGTCATTAAAATGTAACGCTTATTGTTACTTTTTAGGTCTATTAATCATGCACAGTGCATAATCATGATGCCACATAAATATTTTCATTTAGAGTATTTGGTTGATATTAATTTCCACATGATAAGCCACTTTGTGGCCAGGACGCTTCTGAAAAAGAGCTACATAGCTCAGTGGTAAAATAAAAAATTGTTTAGTTTAGTTTTTAGTTCATACCGCACTCTCAACTTCAGAGCAGTGTCTCGTTACATTACCATGTTCGCCACTTCACAAAATATACAGATTCGACTGTGACTTCTTTTTATCACGTGGAAATTTACAGCAGCCAAATACTCTTAAACACATGTTAATTCTAATGTGGAAAAGAACCGGAGGACCCGGAGAAAAATCCACACGACTACGGAGAGAGAGAGAGACACACAAACTCCAAATATACAGCAGGCATCAGGGTCGGGATTGAACCCATGCCCTCATCCATAGCAGGCGAGGGAGTTAACATCTCGGCACCGTGGCGCACTCGTAAACAAGATACAAGCTACTCCGCAGAGGGACGTTGCACGGTTATGTTGTGTAAAGGGGTCCCCCTTACCAAGTATCCAAACTGGATGGTGGACATGTGTGCTTGGAGGATGGACCACAGTCCCCAGAAGAAGTGAGAAGCCAGAGCAAACCTTAACACAAAGGGGGCAATCGCGCATTCCTTGACACCTTGTGATATCCATTTAAAAACCAAACCTTTCTTTTCTCCCAATTCCCCCCCCCCCCCCCGAATACTATCGGCCCGCATCACGAGATGGCGAACGTAAGCAGAGATATCGAAAACGGCCTACAAAAGCCGATATTACTGATCTACCACTGAAATCTCTTTAAGAGACTCAGCAGAGGGCAGCACTCTCCAAACTCACTCAACGACAGAGTAATATTTTCCGCATGACGGTCAAACCAATGTTTTTTTATTCTCAGAGCTGGCATTCAGCAATATCAAGTGCAGGACCAAATTTAATTCGATGTTTTTTTCACGCAGTCGCTGCTAAATAGGCTTGAGGCCATCAACGCACTGCACTTGAAAACGAGGTTTATTATTATTGCCGGCTCGGCGCTCTAACCTTTGAGCCACTCGGCGAGCACCTCGCCCCTTGGTGAAATGCTTCAGGCAAAAAGAGGTTGCGCTTGCAAGAGAGGGCATCATCACCTGTTCACCTCCACCAGCATGGCCTCCAAAACCGCGGTGTCGCCACTTGCATTGGGCAGTCCCGCGCTGTCCGCAGACCTTCCGCCCAAACGCCCACCGCCAGAAACGTCATTCTGACCTCCTCCTCCCACGTGATTCTCTGGAGCGCTGCTGCAGCCATTCATGTGGTTACCGGCTTGGGTCTCTGCTAGGTAATGCCGCAGAAAGTGCAGCTGCAACGAAGGAAATAAAACGACAGCAATTTGTTAATTATCTTGGAAAGTCCGTAAGCAGGCTACGTATTTCCAAGACGTGCGTTTGCGAAAAACCAAACACGACAAAGATGGGCGTTAAAAAGGGGGCGCAAAGAACTGCGCGATGTTTGCCCCCCGCCCCCTCTGAAGTACCCGCAGAGAAAGCTACACGCGTGCACTTTCACCGCTAGCTTTTGACATTTCTGCCACGCGGAGAGCAGCAGAGGAGGAAACTCCGTTCTCCCCTTGGCGGGGGAACCCAGATGGACGCGGCGCCGGGTCCGCCGCTCGTTTCCCGCGAGCGGCCGACGTCGAGAGCTCAAGTTGCTTCACCGAGAGACGGCGGAGGAAGACGGACGGTGTGGGTCGCCTGCGGAGGAGTTACCTGCTGCTCACGGTTCGGATACTTGTCCAGGTTGGCAGTGAAGAACGGCCACACGTCGTGCGTGTAGTCGTAGGTCCACTCGCAGAAATGATTGCCGATGTCGAATCCCCTGCGGAAGGGAAGAGGGGAGGGGGGGGTCGTTACTCGGCACGCGACTTCCACACAGCAAACGAGGACAACCTCTGCGTACAAACTACGACGAGCGACAAAAACTTTGACAAAGTGATGAAAACGTGAACGACTCTTTTATTTTATTGAACTAAATTGTGTGCTGTTGCCCAAGATTAGCACGGTTGGCTACGTATGATGCAAAATAAGTTCAACACACATGCTTACAAAGAAATCTTGCGCTCAAAGCCGAAGGCTGCCCCTTATAGTCCTTACAGTCATGCTTCGATAAACTAATTTTAGTCACGACGTATTTAATTTAGCCTCATGGTAGTAATGTGGTCCATGACTTTTTGATTGTATTTTATTTATTTCCTTTGTCCCTATTCTCTGTTGTTACCCTGTTCACTATCACCGACTACGAAACCACACGAGATTAAGTGCTGTGCGAAAGGAAAGGCGCTTTGCATTGCAACGATTCCTCACCGAGGCCTACGTGCTGTAAAAGAGGGACATTACCAGAAACGGCATCCGTAATTTATACTCTTTCTTTTTAAGGCCAACAGTGTTGTTGTCAAATTACTTTTGTTTGTTATTTGTGCATCACTGCCAATGCAAGCAGCATCACCGATTAGCACGGTTGGTGATGCACGGTGATAAAGTTCAACATACATACCACCGATTAATTTAATCTGTTTAAATAATCTGCAGTCTTAAAACGCCCAACAAAGTTAAATACAGATTCTGGGCATTGGCACTCACCTGTAATTATAGCTGCAGTATTCAAAGTCGATAATCATGAGTTTGTCTTCATTTGCCTTGACTTCATCTTCCAAGAGGAGAATGTTGCCTTTTGAAATACACATATCAAAACAGTTTCAACGGATAGCATTATCAAATGCCTCGTTTGCATGGCTTTAAATGCATTTCATATAGCAAAGACTCACCTACGCTAAACGGCATGTTTATAGACGGACCATGTAATGTTACAGTTCAGTGTGCGTGGTAATGAATAATCCTTCGGTGAAATATAAATGCTCCCATTCAAAGCACTGAACCAGCACTGAGATCCAGAGTTCAAATCTGTGTTTCCACCAGCTGCAATTTAACCGGGTGTAGCGAGCTGATGGTGTCAACATGGTAACCAATGATTTATCACAAATCCCCATACAATAACGATGTTGTACCTAATTTAGCACATTCCAACTTCCGAGAACTAAACAATGCCTTGGTCGCCATGTGAACCCAACCCTCCCCCCCCCTCCCAGAGCGTGATAAGGTGCACTGCCTGGCATGGGTTACAGGCGACCGAGGGACTTCGGAATTAGTTCTGTGGTGTCACCTTCAGGGGGAGGTCATTCGCTAACACTGGAGATGTCACACTGCCTTCCGAGAGTTCCAGACGGATGTTTATTGGTCTCACGCCACCACGCCAATCGCACAACTGAACTATGAATCGGGATATGGAAATTCATTCTAAAAACCAATACACGCCCACCACCAGCCGCTGCAGCCATTTACATAACCGACATGCGCCGGCTGTGGGCGCGTCAACAGCGCTCACGGCTGCACTCCCCCACGGCTGCACTCCCCCACGGCTGCACTGCCCCGCGGCTGCACTGCCCCACTGCACTCCCCCACGGCTGCACTCCCCCACGGCTGCACTGCCCCGCGGCTGCCCTCCCCCAAGGCTGCACTGCCCCACGGCTGCACTGCCCCACGGCTGCACTGCCCCACTGCACTCCCCCACGGCTGCACTGCCCCACGGCTGCACTCCCCCACGGCTGCACTGCCCCACTGCACTCCCCCACTGCACTCCCCCACGACTACACTCCCCCACTGCACTGCCCCACGGCTGCACTCCCCCACTGCACTCCCCCACGGCTACACTCCCCCGCGGCAGCCATTCTGCCAAACGCTGCAATGCGGTGACCGCGGCTCAAGGTCACCCACCATCCCGACGGCTGCCACCGTCGATTTTTGCAACCCCCGATGCGCGACGCCGAGGTCAACACCATAACCTCACTTTCAATATAAATCCACCACATTACAATAGCATTCTATTACCATTTTGTTTTTTACTTTTTTTATTTTACCATGTAAGGCCCTCTGAGCTATGTAGCTCTTTTCCAGAAGCGACCTGGTCACAAACAATAGCTCAACGAAGCGGCTTGTCGTGTGGAAATGTACAGCAGCCAAATACTCTAAACATGTGTTGATTCTACATGTGGAGGGAAAAACCGGAGAAAAATCCACGCGGCCACGGGGAGAACATGCAAATATATAGGTGTCAGGGTCTGGATCGAACCCACAACCTCCTCCATACCAAGCGAGGGAGTTTACATTTCACCACCGCAGCGCCCCTGCATTCATTCACCGGTCAAGCTTTTTGCAGCTATTCCAGCAATATATTAATTTGTAGACAATAATGAACGCTGAGAAATTGACCGTGCGCGCTTGACGGCATTACATATGCCTGCCCGAGGCGCAAGTCGTTGCCTTGTGGTCAAGTTACAGGCATCGCGGCATCAACATCGGGTTCAAGAGGTCGTCACGGCCAATTCCACCCACGCCGCCAGACTTTGCCAACAGCCTTTTGGTACGAGCAGCGGAGTGCGTTGGCAGTCGGTGACGAAGCCGTGGGCAGACGGTGACGGAGCCGTGTGCATTGTGCACCGCGCGGCACCGTGTGTCGAGGTGACTTTGCGTGCGGTGCGGCACAGGGGGCGAGACTCACCTTCCTGACAATCGTTGTGACAAAACACGACGGGGGAGGGGGTGGCGGCCAAAAGGTTTCTGCAGCGCGGGAAAAGCCAGGGGGACATCAAAGGCAGTCATCAGATGAGGTCAACGTAAAGGCAAAGACGACGCCATGCTCGGCGAATCTGCACTGCATCACTAACGTAATGTTCCAAGTCAGTAGTTCTTAATAAATAGGTTTAATAAAACAAGGTAATTGTACTTACGTGCCCCTGCTTAATTTGTGTTTCGACGATTTACCTTCTCAAGAGATGTGGCCATGCCTCGCACCCCCAGAAAGGGCATCTCGCATGCCCAGGGGGTGCATGCACCCCAGGTTAAGAACCACTGTTCTAAGTGATATACGAAAAAGGGGGGTGTAAATATAAGTTTTCCCACTTTTACCCAGGAAAGGTTTACCGAGCCTCAAGACGCATTTTGAGTCGGGTCACAGTCGTAGAGATCTTAGCCAGTTCCATTTGTGAGTATTTGGGAAGGGAACGCGAATACACAGAATAAGCCCACACCTTATGAGGGTACGACGCTCAAAATCTCTGTGTGGATGCAGTCAGAAATCGATTGCTGCACTGTCATCTCCTGGTCACTTCTAATGCACAACGCTGGTATTTACGTAAGGACATCTGTAGCAATTATTACCCCAGAACTTCCATCTCGTGTGGGAGGTTGAACGACATCAAGTGCTTAAACTTCCTCGCCTGTGGCTCCTTTGGGAACTCCAGCAGCATTACCTGCTCCATGTAGCTGTAGGAAATACGGCGTGCACACACACACACACAGCAACTAAACACAAACAAAACGATAATCGCCACAAGCCACACGCAATTTACAGAACAAGACCGTCCCGCCTGTTTTTGCGTAACGTATATCGAACAGATCAAACGGTCGCAAAGCTACGCAAAAGACGGAAGACTGAATTCTAACCACTGTGAACACTGTGGGACTGAGCGTATACACCAAAGAGACAAACCACTCCTCATCCAATACAAAAGACAACATAAATTAACGGACGATCTAAATGCAAGCGCACGTCATGACGCTGTACAGACAGAGATGGGATGTGGCCATCACGGGCAGGAAAGGGAAGTGCTTGCATTTGCGACATAAGGAAGAGAAATCGGCAAGCGTCGTTGAAATTATTTAAACTTAACGTGTGTATTAGGTTCTGGGCATTTTTGCATTGTTAATAATTATAGTACAGTATTATCTTTATATTCTGAGTGACCGAACCGTGCTAAAAATACTTTGTTTCAAAAATAATTATAGTCATGAATTCCAAATCTTATTACATTGGTCGTAAGCGTATTATAAAGTATTAATAGGGATTAACAGGCCCACAGAAAAGTATGAAATACAAAAGTGAGCACGAGGAGGTCAAGGTGAGTTTTTGTGAAATGTAAATCGGTAATAAAAAGTAACATTGCCAAAGCGCCCAAAGCTTAAAGTTTTCAACCAGTGCACAATATCTGCTCCAACACATGGTTCGAAAACACGGGGACACTGCCAAAAGGAAATGGAACAAAAGCTGAAAAGTGTGCGCAGAAGCAGGGAAGAGATAAATGCTGGGGACTAGAGAGAGAGCGAAAGAGTAACACATGGATCGGAGGAAAAATACTTATTAGAGGCATTATCTTGACCGGTAAGAATACCGAGTGTGCTCGTGTTTGCTAAATAGGGGCGATGAACAAGGATCGAGACCGGTGATGGAACCAGAGCCAATGGGCGAACACGACGAGCAAGGAGATGGAACGATGACATCGGTTCACGTGGGGGGAATTAAAATGGATTATGGCATCGCGGGACCGTGACGGTAGGCGATGGACAAGACTTCATCCAGCAGTGGACAGAACACGGATGGTGGATGTTAACAGGTTATGATTGCTCCGTATATACAGTCGTGAACAGAAACAGGTGACCGTGCTGTGCTATTCTTTACACCCAATGCTTTGTCAAATCACATTAAAAACCACGACACATTAATTATTTACCTCTTCATTGTGCTGAACAGCCATTTGGGCTCTTTGTTGAATGGCATTTTCATTTCGTGAAATCTCGCAAGTTTTGTTGCAATTTCCGCGGAAACTTGTGGTAAAGCAAGCTCTGCAGTTCTCAATCTTCTGCTCTGAAACAGCGCAGACAAACACAATGACTTGCTCATCCTGAAGGATGGGATTAAGAGTTCTTGGTACTAGAAGAAGGCGGGGGGGAAGGGGGGGATAGGTACAGTACACGCGGCATGATTCATATGTTGGCGAAAATACAGTTTCCACTGATAATTGGCTGAAAAATATTCAAATTATCGGTGCAAAAGGCGACCCCCTAAGATGTTTGAGACAATCCGCATCCTCGCGGACTAGATGTGCTTCACTGCGCACAAAGACAGAGAGTCTAACGCCACATTACGTACACTTGCATGCCACACCCATGTTTCCCGATTTCCCAGAAATGTCTTCTTTCAAAACGACCCCAAAATTATGAGTGCGTCTTATTTTCCGGAGCGTCTTTTAATTGTGTGAACACGGTAACGATGTTTTGCTCGGTGTGCAGCCGATTGTGGGCTCATCCCCCACCGCAGCCGCTGCACAATCAGCTTACAGGAATGTACTCCTCCAAGCGGCCTTGAGGGAAGACCCCGTAGAGTTTCGGACCCAGCATTCGTTCTGCTAGGATAGCGAACATCACACTCTCCTGTACTAGCGCATCTTGTCCCTGCACACACACCGCAAAACGACGCGTGCCGTACAGCGAGTACAACGCGCATCGCGTCCACGTCATGGGATGCCGTGTGCCATTCGGGCACGCACGCGGTGTGCTGTACGCACGGAACAACACACCAGTTTCAGGACACGGTGCCCCTTCGGTAAACAATAGCGTTTGTGTCAAACGGTGCAAGGACACACGGCACAAGCGCAAGCTATATCCTGCTCGGCCCTGGGACATTGTTGAGAAATTCCACATTCGTATGGCCGGGGGCGAGTTTGCCCACAGGGACAGCTGTCGACTTCCCCGCAAAGTGGTACTCGTTGTATCGACCCAGGAGGGATTGTGAGCGGAGTCGATCCCCAAGCAGGATGTGAACTCCTAACCTTGTGAGTGCGAGCCACTGGCTTTACCGCTGAACCATGAGGCTGGATGCACATTGACAACGCGCTGCACATGGACAGGGCGCTGCACATGGACAGCCCACTGCACATGGACAGGGCGCTGTACCACGTGATCCACAGCCAACTCGGCTGCACTAAACAGCATGCAACAACACAGCAGCAGCACAGATCACGCCGTGTTGTAACAAGCAAATCACGGGGTTTGACACAGACAAGCGTGCGTGCGTGCCGGCATGTTATTTGTACAAACAGAAATGCACCTGAAGGATTCGGCCGTAGATTCGTAAAAGGACATTTCTTGGTTCGTCTCTGGAGTTCTGCTTCCCGTCCGGGAGGGCGCACAGGTAGAGGAAGTTGCTGAGCCCCCCACTGTAAAACAAGCAGTGAAAATTATGTTTGTTTGGACAAATACTGCACATTGGACGTATATAAAAATGTGGTGATATGCTGTATGATGATGACACAGCATCATTGTGTCGTTTGATATCCTTAACATTACACAACACAGCACCAGTGTTGCAGCCTCGTGTGTTTTTATGAAGCGGTACTGGGCGGCTTTTCGAGAGTTTAATTATTAAACGATGAGTTCCATCAATGCCCTTAATTCTTCCCACTGCATTAGCATTGACGCATCACAGAAAGCAAATCTGCAACTTGCCAGCACCATCCTCCCTGACGTGCGACCGCATCAGTCTTCTTCAAACAGTCTACACAACTGCTTTTATCCGCGATGACGTGTGTTGAACAAGATTAGAGAAAAGGGAATTTGCGCTGCTAAAATGATCTATGGACTATGTTACCTGAACCCTGCGTTTCTACATCGCCCCGGCCCACGTCACAAATGTGTTGCCGCGCAGAGGACACATCCACGTGTTATTGACTCCCATTTTGAGATATGATTGAGATATAACCGGTATTCATAAATCAACAAGAAACACTCCTCATTTTAATGTAGGCTTTCACAACCAATATTATCCACAAGAGTTTTTTTTGGGGTTAGATTGCGTAAATATGTGTCGTTAAACCTGCCAACACCCGACACAGCCAATTAGTAAGGTTTGTCACGTAAACAAAACATGCCATCGTTCAGCAGACTGGTGTGTTGGAGAGTAAACCCACATTTACAATTCGGGTACAATGTTTTGCCGGTAATTACAACCAGTCTCATCAAGTGACAGCCAAAATTGTGGATAAATCCTCCTGCTTCTCTCCTCGTATTCGCCACAAGCTCAGTCTCACGGATCTTAGGATAATGGGGTCTCACACAAGACCTCACGGTCATGTGGTTCGCTTGCTCGGAGAAGGTTCGTAAAATAGCAGAGGATTCGTTCGATGTCAGTGTTCCCAGCTACTACTACTCAAGCAAGTGGCGTTTTTAGGTACAGCCGGAAAATGTCCTCTGGAAGCCGAGAACCTGGGAAAAAGGAAATTATTTATAAGCTCAAAGCAAACTTCCAAGCACAAGGCAGCAAATGAGATCGTCAACTGTGGGCCGCAACAGGGAAGATTTCCTATGGACATGAGGTGTAAAGTAGGACAAGGCCCGCTTGTGGACTCAGCTTCCAAGAATATATTTTTAAATGCCCCCACCACGGACAGAGCGGAAGTGAAGCTTGTGCCGAGGAGCTCGCCATTACCTTATAATACTGATTTGAAACTCATTCTCCTGCAGCGTCTTCCACATGCCAGACAGGTACTCCTGGCACCACACGAAGGCGAGCCTCTTGGTCTCTGCGGGGACAGTGGCCTTGCGCTCCACCTCGTCCTGTTCCTCGTCCGCCTCCGCGCCTCTCGTCCTGTCCGAACCGAGGCCGGGCGCCTCGTGCTCACTCATCGCGCCGGAAGATCCTGGCATGAGCAGCAAAAACCGTTGATGTAATTACAGTGGCGAATACTAAACTAAACTATTTTTCTTTTACCAGGTAAGGCTCAGCTGAGCTATATAGCTATTTTTAAGAAGCAACCTGGCCACAAATGATAGCTCAATGAAGTGGCTAATCATGCGGGAATTTACAGCAACCAAATACTCCAAATGCAACCTGTTCACAAATGATAGCTCAACGAAGTGGCTTTTCATGTGGACATTTACAGCAGCCAAATACTCTAAATGCATGTTTATAAATGTGGCGGGAAAAACTGAAAGAACCGGAGAACAATCCACGTGACCACGGCGAGAACATGCAAACTCCAAATATACTGGCGTCAGGTTCGGGATCGAACCCACAACCTGTATACTAGGCGAGGTAGTTAAAATCTCGCCATCATGGCACACAGAAGCTGCGTCACATACGATACAATTCGGATATTCCTGGAAAACTGCCCAGCGTTGAAAAGTAGGCCAAAATACCCTCAGAGGGGGCTTTCTAGAGCTCCCTCCAGTGGAGGTACTTGTGACAGTAGTCCTGAGAAATTGTAGGGCTTCACCTTTTAGACGGTAAAACCTGTCAAAGCCTAAATAATCGTGGGGACGTGTCTTTCCAGCACGTAATAATGATACAAATGCGTACTTACGTAACTGAAAAAACACTGACACCACTAAATATCATCTAGCACGTTTAATTAACAACCGTTTTCTCAAGCTGCGCGCGAAGCTGGCCTGTGATTAAGGGAACTGGCAGTAAAGGTTATCCTGGAGGACGGGACGTGTGGATTAGGAATGTTAATAAGATTACGGTAAATTATAGATGATAATTACATTACACGAATTTAAACAGCCATGGCTACACAAAGAGGGTGAGCAGTGTGGGGGACCAATCATGCGAAGGCTGACTGGCGCTGGAGAGCCGAGTGGATGACAACTTGCCTACCTGTACGCACGGCACTCACAGAATTCACGTTTTCAGCCAGATGGCCAAAAAAAAATCACTTGGTATATAGGTCGTGGGTTCGATTCCGACCCTGACGCTTGTATATTTGGACGTTGCATGTTCTCCCCGTGGTCGCGTAGATTTTTGTTCGGGTCCTCTGGTTTTTCCCTCCACATGTAGAAACGTGCATTTAGATTATTTGGCTGCTATAAATTTACACATGATAAGTTGAGCTATCATTTGTGGCCAAGTCACTTCCGAAAAACAGTTATATAGCTCAGTGGGCCTTTCCTGGTAAAATGTAAATAGTTTAGTTTATAGTTTAAGTGACAGTTTCTCCACGAATGGGGGCATCGTGGGCGCACGTCAAATTCGATGCGCTACGATGAGCACATGGCCATTGCTGTTTGAGACCTGTTCTGTAAGATGTGTGTGAAACAAGAAGCACTCAAGAGCGACAAGCAGCAGCGGTCCCTGGCTCGAGCTCATAGAAGAGGATGAGAGTGCAACATTCGGCTTCTCACACCAGTAGGCGATCGTGTTCTCATTTTCAATAAAAATTACTCTGAAATATAAACTTCTGGGGAGACGAACAACTCTACTCAACATAACTTTTTTCAGGATTGTATAATATTTCATTTCTTATCTTGAAATATGGACGTGCAGGGTGGGGGAGGGGGAAATGGATAAGGTGGGCGTTCAGAGTATAGGTTCCTCGGCATGAGTCCCATGCCACATCTCCTGTAAAAAGCATTTATTTTTTTGCTTCTTAATGCCTTGTAGGGAACTCAGAGTTCATCACTGTTATTTTTTACTTGGTGACTTTTGCATTCTAATCTACAGTAATTACCTTATTGCTATCTCTATACGGTTTTACCACTTGCTTTACGTTCTTTTTCACCTTTTGCTCGCTCTCTCGCTCTCTCTCTCTCTCTCGTACTGTCACCCTGTCAGCAGGTGGACATGAGCCAGAACTGCCAGCAAAGCTGTTGCAAGCAGCAGGACCACTCCCAAGGGGACATAAAAAAAAATTTGTTCCAATCGTGAACGACTCTTGTGTCTCCAGGAACACGAAGAGCCGGAATTAAATTTCCATCCACAGTGGCAGTGGGCACATGTGCCAACTGTCAGTGTGAACAGCGTGGAGAGGAACTCTCTCCTCCTGCACCACATCAACCACTGCCACGCAAGCCCCCGTCACATTTACACCAAGCGGAAATGTTTAGATCAAGAACAAATGAATTTTGTATATCCCTGGCTTCGGCTCAGCCCTAACCAGCCCTCACATTTCCCCTGCGAGGAACAAAAAACCCTCAGTTCTTCACATGGTAGAACCCACCCCAGAAACAACTACCGCCATTTGCCACGAAGTGGCGGTGACGTCACCACAGCGCATGTGCCAGGCTAGGTGCACTTGGAGACCACGTGCAGTGTCGTAGGCTCGCTGCTGACAGGTCACTGGACAAACCCAGGTGCCACGGGTTGACTGAGATGACTGCTCCCTAGCGTGCCCCACCTCTGGTTTCTCTCTCTCTCACACACACCCACGGATTTTCTCCATGTCTCTACCCAGAGGTAAATTCCGATTCATCACCTTTGTAATGAATATATTACAACCGTTCTATTTGTGTACCACGCCAAGTGGCATCCGTCACGCCTTACTTTACAAGGGCCCCTACACGAGTGGGGCCGTGGGTCGAGCGACGTGGCACCTGGTGACACAGCGACGAAATGACTCAACGCCGCTTTATCTCCACCTCGCCCCACCAACATCACTCCACGTGCCAAAACATCTCTGCGCTCCCTCCATTTGGCACAAGTCGAATACGCTACAAAGACAAACAAATATATCCCCGTAATCGTCGATAAATGAGTGTTTATTTGATGTAGTGCCCTTCGCGATAAACCGTTGCAAGGCCCTTCACGAATAATAAGTTAATAATTGAACAGCGGTCAATAACTGTGCAGTAAAATAAACGATCAAAACAGAACGATCAACTTTAACAGGTTGTTGGAGCAGGTGCTGTTAGCGAGCACCTATTAAGGCCGGAAAGGCAGAGGTGGGTGGCCAGGACCACGTCCGGCCGCCTTTGTCTCCCCAGTGCTAATGTTTACGCACCGCACCAGGTACTCATTGAAGGACGACTAACCACGTGCATTCAAAGACAAAAATCCCCCGCATAGCCCCCACAGGCTGCGTTACACACACATTCACGTGTATTTGTTTTACGTTTAAAGTAGACTTGAACGCAGGAGGCCAGGATATACTCATTTGCTAGTGACCTGGGCATTCATAATACCCACAAATATACGAGATGGCATTTGCATTACAAAAACGGTAATAACCGGTGTTATCGATGTGTCTAGTAATACAAATTAATATTTCGATATAAAGGTTTCATGACTGCAGGGATTCATATTCTTGGTTCTTTCGGTAAAGTCACGTAGAAGGGAAACAATAAAATAAAACAATACAATTCTCACGACGTTTCAACTGCAACACAAGCAATCATCATCAGGTGTGAAAACCACAGCAAGGAAATTTGAAAAAAAACGCCACTTTTTAAAAATTTTCTTGCTGTGGTTTTCACACCTGATGATTGCTGGTGTTGCAATCGAAACGTTTCGAGAATTTTATTGTTTTATTTGTATTATTTCCCTTCTACGTGACTTTATGGAATGAACCAAAGAGTACCTTTTAACGGAGACGAGCAACTCGCACGTACTTGTGTCCGCCCGTCCCTTCCAGCCAGTCAAACTTTTTTTTTATATTGCCTGTGTCTCTCTCCACCTTTCTGCTGCCTTCTGTCCGGTCTATCCCAATGTAGATCGAGTCCTCGCTCCGTCTCTCTGTCCTCTCTCCTACTACTCCCTCCCCTCTATATGCATCTCCTGCCTCCACTCTCACCCACTGACCCCCGTCTCTGTGACCTCTCGCTCTCATTATTCCCCTCCCTCCTTTCCCGCATCAAACTCTCTCTTGTCTCTCTCCCTCCCTCTCTCTCTCCTCTTTCGCTCCCTCGCTTTCCTCTCCGTTTAAAGAACCTTTTCACTCTCCTCCCCCCCCCATCTCTTCTCACTCTATCACCTCCCTTCCTACCACACACACACACAGCACAAGCACGCCAGCTAGCCAGGAATCCAGCCAGCAAAGCAATTTTCTAACAAAGTACACCACTTGGATATGGTATAAAACGAGGGGAGCTGCTCCAGTGGAAGTGGGTAATGGGTACAAGCTCACTGGCCTTGCAACCCAGAGGTCAATTCCATGACCTTCAGGGAATGTCCACCCAGCACTGCGGATGGGTGAATCGCAGCTTGCGGTGGGATAAAATGTGGGCACACACACACACCCCATGTTCTGTTTTGGTGAATGTGGAAGAATAGACCAAATACCCGCTCTCGAGTTCTCTCTCTCTCTCTCGTGGAGGCTCTTCCTCCAGCAGTGGCGTGGACAAGAAATTGCAGGGATGCCCCTTTAACTGCACTGTATTTATCAGAACGACTGCCGCCGTGCGGTTTGTCCGTTCGCGCATCCTCAATCAATCAATACCCTTGAACTCCACTGGAATCGGTTACCGGTTCGTTACTTTTCTGGATCGGTGATCGATTCCCATTAACCGGTTACCGGTTTAACCGTATTATCGGTTCATACTCTTTGGTTTTTTCGGTAAAGTCACGTAGGTAAAACAATTAATAAACTAAATTAAATCACGACGTTTCGGAGGCAACATTAATTTAGTTGTTTTCATTTATTTTATTTTATTGTTTTTACCTACGTGACTTTACCAAAAAAAAAACAGAGTATGAATCCTTGCAGTCACGAAAGCTTCAAATCTAGAACGTATTATCGGTTCACAACCATATAATATAAATTCACACACACTCTGTACGACCGTAACACAAGTACAGTTACAGTGGGTGGCGTGACTCACACCGGATCCCAGCCGTCTTTGTATCCCCAGGGATTCCCAGGCCGCGTTCAGACACGTGTCGCCTACACTGCCCCCCCCCCCCCCCCTCTGTGTGGCCCAGAGACGCAGACGAAGTGACAGAGAATGACACACACACAGAGAGAGAGAGAGACAGGGCGATCGTGAAGAGATACAGACACACGTATACACAGACACACACAGAGACAGAGAATGAGACACTAAGAGACAGAGAATGAGACACACACACAGACAGAGAATCAGACACACACACACAGACAGAGAGAATCAGACACACACAGAGACAGAGCATGAGACACACACACAGACAGAGAATGACACACACACACAGAGACAGAGCATGAGACACACACACAGACAGAGAATGACACACACACACAGACAGAGAGAATCAGACACACACAGAGACAGAGCATGAGACACACACACAGACAGAGAATGAGACACACAGAGACAGAGCATGAGACACACACACAGACAGAGAATGAGACACACACACACAGACAGAGAGAATCAGACACACACACAGACAGAGAATCAGACACACACACACAGACAGAGAGAATCAGACACACACAGAGACAGAGCATGAGACACACACACAGACAGAGAATGAGACACACACAGAGACAGAGAATGAGACACACACACAGACAGAGAGAATCAGACACACACAGAGACAGAGCATGAGACACACACACAGACAGAGAATGAGACACACACAGAGACAGAGCACGAGACACACACACAGACAGAGAATGAGACACACACACAGAGACACAGAGAATCAGACACACACACAGACAGAGAATGAGACACACACAGAGACAGAGAATGAGACACACACACACAGACAGAGAATGAGACACACACAGAGACAGAGAATGAGACACACACACACAGACAGAGAATGAGACACACACACACAGACAGAGAATGAGACACTCACACAGACAGAGAATGAGACACACACAGAGACAGAGAATGAGACACACACACAGACAGAGAATGAGACACACACACAGAGACAGAGAATGACACACACACACAGAGACAGAGAATGAGACACACACAGAGACAGAGAATGACACACACACAGAGACAGAGAATGAGACACACACAGAGACAGAGAATGAGACACACACAGAGAGACAGAGAATGAGACACACACAGAGAGACAGAGAATGAGACACACACAGAGACAGAGAATGAGACACACACATAGACAGAGAATGAGACACACACATAGACAGAGAATGAGACACACACAGAGACAGAGAATGAGACACACATAGAGACAGAGAATGAGACACACACACAGAGACAGAGAATGAGACACACACACAGACAAAGAATGAGACACACACACAGACAGAGAATGAGACACACACATAGACAGAGAATGAGACACACACATAGACAGAGAATGAGACACACACACAGACAGAGAAAGAGACACACACACACAGACAGAGAATGAGACACACACACAGAGACAGAGAATGAGACACACACACAGACAGAGAATGACACACACAGAGACAGAGAATGAGACACACACACAGACAGAGAATGAGACACACACACAGACAGAGAATGAGACACACACACAGAGACACAGAGAATCAGACACACACACAGACAGAGAATGAGACACACACACAGAGACACAGAGAATGAGACACACACACAGAGACACATAGAATGAGACACACACACAGAGACACAGAGAATGAGACACACACACAGACAGAGAATGAGACACACACACAGAGACACAGAGAATGAGACACACACACAGACAGAGAATGAGACACACACACAGACAGAGAATGAGACACACACACAGACAGAGAATGAGACACACACACAGACAGAGCATGAGACACACACACAGAGAGACAGAGAATGACACACACACACAGACAGAGAATGAGACACACACACAGACAGAGAATGAGACACACACACAGACAGAGAATGAGACACACACACAGAGAATGAGACACACAGAGACAGAGAATGAGACACACACACAGACAGAGAATGAGACACACACACAGACAGAGAATGAGACACACACACAGACAGAGAATGAGACACACACACAGACAGAGAATGAGACACACACACAGACAGAGAATGAGACACACACACAGAGACACAGAGAATGAGACACACACACAGACAGAGAATGAGACACACACAGACAGAGAATGAGACACACACACAGACAGAGAATGAGACACACACACAGAGACAGAGCATGAGACACACACACAGAGACAGAGCATGAGACACACACACAGACAGAGAATGAGACACACACACACAGACAGAGAATGAGACACACACACAGAGACACAGAGACAGAGAATGACACACACACACAGAGAGACAGGGCGATCGTGAAGAGATACAGACACACGTATACACAGACACACACAGAGACAGAGAATGAGACACACACAGAGACAGAGAATGAGACACTAAGAGACAGAGCATGAGACACTCACACAGACAGAGAATGAGACACACACAGAGACAGAGCATGAGACACACAGAGACAGAGAATGAGACACACACACAGAGACAGAGCATGAGACACACACACAAAGACAGAGAATGACACACACACACAGACAGAGAATGACACACACACACAGACAGAGAATGAGACACACACACAGACAGAGCATGAGACACACACACAGACAGAGCATGAGACACACACACACAGAGACAGAGAATGAGACACACACAGACAGAGAATGAGACACACACACAGACAGAGCATGAGACACACACACAAAGACAGAGAATGACACACACACACAGACAGAGAATGAGACACACACACAGACAGAGAATGAGACACACACACAGAGAGACAGAGAATGAGACACACACACAGACAGAGAATGAGACACACACACAGACAGAGAATGAGACACACACACAGACAGAGAATGAAACACACACACAGAGAGACAGAGAATGAGACACACACAGAGAGATATCTACGCAGTGGTAGACAAACGCACACAGAGACAGACACCGAGAGGGATAAGAGACACGGAGACACTGAATATTATTTTTTTATTGAATGAGACGCAGAGAGACAGACCCGGAGACGGACACGACACCGCAGAGAGACACTGAATATAAATGTTCTATAGTTTGTTATCGATGACACTGAGAGACACACCCGGAGAGGGACACGAGACCCACCGAGAGACGCTGAAGGCGACACAGAGACAGGGAAGGGACAGACATTAGAAGAGAGAGACACAGAGAGACAGTGGTGGGTGGTGGGTGGTGGCGGCCTTTGCAACTCACGCGGTCCCGGGTCCCGCCGGCTTCTTGTCTGCCGCCGGGAGCCCCGGACTCTGAATCAGCACGACAGCTAAGGGGGCCCGGACTCTGAATCAGCACGACAGCTAGGGGGGCCCGGACTCTGAATCAGCATGACAGCTAGGGGGGCCCGGACTCTGAATCAGCACGACAGCTAGGGGGGCCCGGACTCTGAATCAGCACGACAGCTAGGGGGGCCCGGACTCTGAATCAGCACGACAGCTAGGGGGGCCCGGACTCTGAATCAGCATGACAGCTAGGGGGGCCCGGACTCTGAATCAGCATGACAGCGAGGGGGGCCCGGACTCTGAATCAGCACGACAGCTAGGAGAAAGGGGCCCCGGACTCTGAATCAGCATCGCAGCGAGGGAGCCCCGGACTCTGAATCAGCATGACAGCGAGGGGGACCCCGGACTCTGAATCAGCATCGCAGCGTGGGGGAGGGGGCCCGGACTCTGAATGAGCACGACAGCGAGGGGGGCCGGGCTCTGAATCAGCACGACAGCGAGGGGGGGGCCCGGACTCTGAATCAGCACGACAGCGAGGGGCCCCGGACTCTGAATCAGCACGACAGCGAGGGGGGCCCGGACTCTGAATCAGCACGCAAGCGAGGGGGGCCCGGACTCTGAATCAGCATGACAGCGAGGGGGTGGGGCCCAGACTCTGAATCAGCATGACAGCGAGGGGGGCCCGGACTCTGAATCAGCATGACAGCGAGGGGGTGGGGCCCAGACTCTGAATCAGCATGACAGCGAGGGGGGCCCGGACTCTGAATCAGCATGACAGCGAGGGGGTGGGGCCCAGACTCTGAATCAGCATGACAGCGAGGGGGGCCCGGACTCTGAATCAGCATGACAGCGAGGGGGTGGGGCCCAGACTCTGAATCAGCATGACAGCGAGGGAGCCCCGGACTCTGAATCAGCACGACAGCGAGGGGGGCCCGGACTCCGAATCAGCATGACAGCGAGGGGAGCCCGGACTCTGAATCATCATGACAGCGAGGGGGTCCCGGACTCTGAATCAGCATGACAGCGAGGGGAGCCCGGACTCTGAATCAGCATGACAGCGAGGGGGGCCCAGACTCTGAATCAGCATGACAGCGAGGGGGGCCCAGACTCTGAATCAGCATGACAGCTAGGGGGGCCCGGACTCTGAATCAGCATGACAGCGAGGGGGGCCCAGACTCTGAATCAGCATGACAGCTAGGGGAGCCCGGACTCTGAATCAGCATGACAGCGAGGGGGGCCCAGACTCTGAATCAGCATGACAGCGAGGGGAGCCCGGACTCTGAATCAGCATGACAGCGAGGGGGGCCCGGACTCTGAATCAGCATGACAGCGAGGGGGGCCCAGACTCTGAATCAGCATGACAGCGAGGGGAGCCCGGACTCTGAATCAGCATGACAGCGAGGGGGGCCCGGACTCTGAATCAGCATGACAGCGAGGGGGGCCCAGACTCTGAATCAGCATGACAGCGAGGGGAGCCCGGACTCTGAATCAGCATGACAGCGAGGGGGGCCCGGACTCTGAATCAGCATGACAGCGAGGGGGGCCCAGACTCTGAATCAGCATGACAGCGAGGGGAGCCCGGACTCTGAATCAGCATGACAGCGAGGGGAGCCCGGACTCTGAATCATCATGACAGCGAGGGGAGCCCGGACTCTGAATCAGCATGACAGCGAGGGGAGCCCGGACTCTGAATCATCATGACAGCTAGGGGGGCCCGGACTCTGAATCAGCATCGCAGAGCGGCCCCGGAACAAGCATCGCTCCACGTGACCCCCGCTAGGCCTGCAGCCTGGCGGCCATCTTACCTAGGGCCCTGCAAGCGTGCAGGGACCGCGCGCGCCCAGGAGAGGGTGAAACTTTAATAACCTCACGCTCTTATTTGTTTATTGTAACGAGTGCAAACCCTTCTTTTTTGTCGACGACACATTTTTAAAAAAAAATTACATCCCTTAAAATCACGGCATTGCCTCGCGACTCTACATGTACGTGCCTCGAAGGTAGGGTTATTGCCCGAAACATCGCCGATTATATATTTATGATGTTACGGCAGCGCGCCGTGTTATTGACGAACGTGTGTTGAGGCGACCCGGAAGTAGAACCTCGAAGCTGTCGTGAGTTGACCCCGGAAGTAGAACCTCTGTGTCACGAGCCAGGGCCACGTGCGTGCTGTGGACACGCGCACGTGTTTGTCCTCGTGCGAGCGAGGGAGCGAGCAACCGGTGTGCGGCGCCTCTCTTCGCTCTGCTTTGTCTCTGCTGTGCAGGATGAGGACGGGGAGAGGCTCGTGAAGGACGCTACTACTACTGGGCAGTTGTAGGCAGTCGCCCTCCAGCTAACAAGGTTAGGAGTGCAGAGGAGAGTGACGCTTACAACGAGTGGAGCGCGCCGGGCAGGGAAAACGCAGCAAGTTGGCACAGTAGGGGGCACAGGTGGTCGTGCATCTGACAGTCAACCTATGTCATCTGGGTCTATCCCGTGATATGCCGGCGAGCCCTCGACGCTTAATGTGGCATCAAGGTGCACCTAGTCTGGCACAATCGCCGTGGTTGCTGTAAAGGAAGTATCGACCAACGCCAGGGACGATTATCTGATCCAGCCCTTCTCCCTTCCCTAGGTCGACTCGGCCTCAAATGAGTACCCGGTACAGTGTGTGAACATCGCCAAAGGCGTGAGATGTGCTACACGTGATCAACGCCCCAAGAGTCTCTGAAGGCTAAATGGGGGACTCGTCGTTGTAATTGGTCATTGTTACGCTTGCACTTTGACACCCATGACCAAATCACCCGGAATGCACCCTAACTCGTCGAGGCACAAGCTAAGCAGGTTAGAGCTTGGATAGAGATCGGATGGGTACTGAAGGCTATTGCTGGGGCCACGTTTTCAGCAAAGGGGAAACTTTTACTTTACTATGCTCCAACGTCTTCACCCACCCACACTGATCAGCCTGGTGAAGTATGGTTAAACACCCCCCCCCCCCCCCCCACTATGGAGTAAAACATAACCCCATGTTTATTTTTCAGTTGCGTTGATTTGACTGGAAAAGTATTGAGAGAAAAAAAATCAACCATGCTGACAGCAAGGGACTCAAGGTATGTTGTGTTACATGCTCTGCATTAGAGTGTGTTGAATTTAGTTTTATTTACAACTAATTTTTTTTTTGTATTGACACAATTTCAAATATTTGTGTCAGAATTAAGTATTCGGAGTAAGTTATCATACCTGTCAACCCCTTATCAGTGCCTGCCTTATTACAGTCCAGTTCAAACTGTATTGGTCACCCCGTTACCTTATAAATCTCAACGTTCATCCTACAAAATCCCATCACAAGGGAGAAACACAAACAAATAGACAAAACAAGTTTCGCCCCTATTGAAACGGCTGTACGCCGTATGGACCTGAAAACCAAATTTCCCTGTACAAGAAAGACTACGAGTAAACCGTATGGGTTGACAGGTATGAGTTGGACATGTCTAATTGTATGGAGGGATGGTTGACAGCTTGAACTGATAAGAAAAAGTTAATTGGGGTTTGCAGCTTAAAAAAGTTTCTTCTCACAGTTGATTTAGAGCAAAATGTCTTGTTTGTGACCATTTGTAGGTCGTCTGGCGACGAAAGAGTTGATGACGGTGGCCATGAGAGTAAACCTTGTGAGGATAACGACGATCTTAGTTCATCAATGCAGCGATGTCTGAATGCTCTGAGGGAAGCGAGGAATGACAGCGAACAGTTTGCAGCGTTGCTCCTGGTGAGTGACACTATCTCCGTAGCAACCATCTCCGTGACAACCATCTCCGTGGCAACTATCTCCGTGGCAACTATCTCCGTGACAACTATCTCCGTGACAACTATCTCCGTGACAACTATCTCTATGACAGCTATCTCCGTGGCAACTATCTCTGCTATCCAATTGAACTTAAGTGTGTGAACGTTGGCACAACGCGGGCAAATAACGGCGGCACGCTTCTAGCTCGGGACTTGGCTCGTCAGTGACAGCATCGTCAACGATGACTTTACTTTGATCAGAATCTGTATTTATCTCGGAGAAATCCGATGAGCTATGAAGCTCTTTTTCACAGATGTCCATTAGAGGCGGGTCAGAAAGTTACAACAACGAACAACTTTAATGAGAGAAATCCCGAGCTATTATCTCGATTACAAGACGCAATTTTCCCCCCCAATATGAAAGTATAAGTTTGGGGTCCAGCATAACAATCCGGTGGTTGTGTGTGACCAGATCTCTATACCTTTATTGACACCGTGCACAGGTTTGGTGTGCGTCTTATAATCCAGAGATTACGGTAGCGTATTATAGTACACCTTAGAGAAAGACAACCCAAAAACACATTCCTGCGGAGGGAGCTGGTAGGAACGTTGGGTTGCTCGGTCAATGGCCAGGGTCAACGGCGGCGTGGTGTATTCCGCAAATATGGCCGACTGTGAGGGCGGCAACAAGCCGGCATGAGTAGGTTAAACGTTCAGTTATATAAGGGCACCACGGGGTGACCAGCCCCTCCCCACCCAGCCCCTCCCCACCCTCTCCACCCAGCCCCTCCCTCCCCACCCAGCCCCTCCCCAACCTCTCTACCTAGCCCCTCCCCACCATCCCCACCCAGGCCCTCCCCACCCTCCCCTCTCCACCCTCCCCTCTCCACCCAGCCCCACCCCTCCTATTTTTAGATGCACGACGGACGGACACAATAATCCCCTGTGGGCTGGTGTAACCAGGAGGTTCCTACCAGTATGAGCCTGATCTCTGATCGATTGCACGCAGGCTCCAAATGTGTGTCAAGACAGCCTGGAAAATCCAGCCTTGTACTCGCAGACGAGATAGGAGAAACGTCGTGAGAATTATTTTATTATGTTTTATTTTTATTATTTCTCTATGTGACTGTACCGAAAGAACCAAGAATATGAGATGAGAGAGCTATTGTTTTGTGGGTTGTGCCACTAAAATAGTGGGTGTATAGATGAGCCCCTGGCTCCAGATTGTCGAATTGTTACCCCTGCCTCGAGACCACTGAATAAGGAGTCGAAGGTCCTTTTCCAAGAATGAGACTCCCTCACCAATACATTGAACAACGCAGACAGCATTTACTGGGTGAGCAAGCGGTTATAGCCCCCTGGTGCTGGAATTATTCATTGAAAGTACTGACTTAAAAATGGCCTTTTGACTTAGCTTTAAATGTGATTTTTTAAATCAATACAGTACAATATGCTCGTGCTATGTGAGAAAAAAATATATAAAACTTGATGTATACGTGTCCTTTGGTTTTACAGGTGACAAAGATGCTTGCCGTGGAAAACACCAACGCAAAAAAGCGACGGAGAATTTTTGACGCCATCGGATTCACATTTATAAACAGACTTCTGTTACCATCTGCGGCGTCTAATGTGTCCGCTGTAAATGAATATCGGTCGCTGGGAATTGCTATGTTGGCATGTTTTTGCACCGATTCTGAGCTCGTGTTGAATTCACAAGTTCTCAACAAAGTTCACATTTTAGGCGAGATTCTGGCACTGAATCAGCCACATGAAGAATCTGAAGACCTTAACCTGTACAGGTCGGTGGTCGACGATTGTTATCAGTGCTTTCAAGGAATAATTGCAGCACCAGGGGGCTTTAACCACTTGCTCACCGAAGAAGTACTGTCTGCATTGTGCAATGTATTGGTGAGGAAGTCTCATTCTTGGGAAAAGGGCCTTCAACTCCTCATTCACTTGCTAAATGCGCAATCTTCAGAATGCTGGGCGAAGGCCGAAGAAGACCTCTCCAAAGTTTTGAAGCACCTTTGTGTGCAGTTTGCAAATTCTAACGATGGCAATAAGTTCGACATTTGCGAGCTCCTTCCCAATTTTCTGCCACCCTTGGCAATCTTTCAAAAGTGCACGCAGTGCTCCGAATGTTTCCGGACTATACACGCGGAACTATTCGGCGTCCTCAACAGCAAGATTTCTGGTGCTCAGAGAGATCCTGCCCTGAAACTGGCCTCTGCTATGATAAATCTCTACAGCTTGGATTGGATTCTGCCCGGAAACACAACCGCAAAGGATACGTTCTTCGCGCTGATCGTCAATCTCGCGTGCATCGAAGTCCGTATGTGCCTTGAGGACACCGATTCCGCGACGGTAGCTAACAAACACGCGATTTTGATTGCTTGTTACAGCATTCTGGAAAATACCGTTGCACTGCTCACCACAGCGGAACACCAGTTCAGCAGAGTTTGGTGCAACCAGATCGTCACGAAGATGGAAGAGGCCTTTTCCGCAGTGATTTATTACCTAAAGCAGCAGGTAAATACATATGTATGTATGCGATTCGTATGAGATGAGGGCTCGGTGAACTATGTCCTGAGGGACGGAGTGGCTGGGTTTGAAACTGCTTTAATGCAGGAATATATATGTATCACGGGTAGTGGCTAACGTGTGAATTTATAGAACATTATAATGTTTCGAATTAAAGCTTTCGTGACTGCAGGGATTCATCTTCTTGGTTCTTTCGGTAAAGTCACGTAGAAGGGAAATAATAAAAATAAAACATAATAAAATACAATTCTCACGACGTTTCGGCCACAACGCAAGCAGCCGTCCTCAGGTGAAGAACAGGTGTCAGAAAGACAGCTGCCAAGCATGGTGGTGTTCATTCGGACGCTGTCTTTCCGACAGACCTGTTCTTCACCTGAGGACGACTGCTTGCGTTGTGGCCGAAACGTCGTGAGAATTGTATTTTATTTTTATAATTTTATTTTTATTATTTTATTATTTCCCTTCTACATGACTTTACCGAAAGAACCAAGAAGATGAACGTTTTAATGTTTAAGGCAGTGCGGATCGACACTTCAAATGTTGAATGCAGGCTTTGGTGCCAATATTGTGTTGCATAGTGAAGTTGGTGTTATATTTTTTTTACTCATAGTATCATACTGTAGTCCTAAAGATCCTGACCGTGTAGGATTTGAAAGACACTTGTGTGGCTTGGAAGAATTTCGTAACAAATTATCACCGCTGTCACAAGTCTAACATCGAGGAAGCCCAACCCACACGGCCGTTTTGTACTAAAACGCATATTTACAATGATGGGCGCTCATTAAACTCATAAAACATCATCTTCAGTTGTTTTTGGCAGATCGTTAGCCCGGTGGTGAGCAAACGCTTGCCCGTGAGCCAGTTTGCGGAGCGGACAGTTTGGCAGAACCACTTGATCATCTGTGCTGGGAATTACCATATGCTGCACGGCGGATATTAATCACGCGTGATATCATCACAGAAGAGTCCATCTTGGTCCTTCCCCCACCACATCTCCGATTACCTAGGTTGGCTACGTATGGTGCGAAAGAAGTTAAACACATCTTGTGTTTGCGTCCTAGGCCATTTCCAGAGTTAATTGCAAATTGTTATTAAAACCACACTTTTTGTAATTTTGTTTATCAAGGTTTCTCTTACTATGTAGACATTCTTAATGGACTAGCGACGTTTCGAATAAGGCATATTTGTGCGTGTGCTATTTTTTAACACCTTGCACGGTACATTTATCCCGCTCACGAAACCTTGCTGTGCTGCTCTAGGTTCTAGAAGAGTGGATTGGAGACAGCTTTGTGTTTGCTTCGGTTCGTGTGCTTGGATCATGGATGGCGGAGGAGAACCTGACTCTCAAAAAGGAGATTATGGAGATCATTCCGTCCTTAATGCAGTACAGCTGGAAAATGCAAGGCAATGAAGCGGAGCCAGCGGCCAAGACAGTCGAGCAAAACCCCTGTCAGTTTGTCAATGATCAGACGGTTGATCCACTTAGGTGAGACAATATTTGTTTTATTATTCATATATACCGTGCATTTATTTGTCCTAATCACAATGATAATAATCGCTGTGCAGTGGCGGCCATGCACGCCTGTAACCCATCGGTGTGGAGGCGAGGTTTGGTGGCTCACACGCGTTGTTTTGAAGCTGCCTACCCGTGTGTCGAGGTGGCATCACCTGGCTTGCCAAGAAAAGGCAGTGCGGCAATTGGACTAATATCCATCTTCACTGGGATCGAGTGTTGCCCCCTTGCGCGCATGGGTTTCCTCTCGGTGCTCCAATTTCCTCCCACGTGTGCAAGTTGGCTGCAAACGTTTAAAACGAAAACCCAATGCAGGACCTTCTGGAAAGCAGGGGGTTTCACTCTGTATTGAGATTAACTCGTGTCACCACCAGCAAACAAGATGATATTGGTAGTACAGCATGAACTTGACATCCTTTACGGTATGTAGCCCAACTTAAACCTATGGCCACGTCCGGCAAATACCCTGAAAGGTACCTTCTTCTTAACTTGCGTTACGTTTGTCATTTCCAGGTTTCTGCTTCCAGGATTGTGTCACCTAACGGCAGAAGACGATGCGCGGAAGCTGCTCTTAGAACAGAACCTCCACGTCCTCCTGAGACTCTCCTTCCAGAGGCAGTGGGAGCTTTTCAAACGTCTCATGTCGGATGAAGAATTACAGACGTATCCGGACGTTGAAATGACCCTTCGCTATCAGTGCAGCATCTTTTTAAACCTCGTCGTTACCGAACCCCAGTTTGCGAAGTAAGCTCCAAAAAAAAGTCCTAATTTTGTCGTTGGGCTTCGTTGCCTAAAGTTGGTGTCACCCAACCGAAAACATTGGTGTTGGATCGTGTTTTTCTCCATTGGTGGAAATTCCCCATCCCTGTGGTGGGGCCAGCCACTTTCATTGGCTCAACCACGGTCGACTTCTCAAACTCATCCTCATTTGACCAACTGACCGAAGGTTGAAGGGTTTCAGTCGACCAACTTTTATAAACCTCGCCGATTGCGATTCTCGCTCTTAACCACAGCGCCGCCTGTCCGGTTGTGTCTTATTTATCAACAGCTGTTATCTTTTTGGTTCTTTCGGTAAAGTCACGTAGAAGGGAGATAATAAAATAATAAAAATTAAACATAATAAAATAATACAATTCTCACGACGTTTCGGCCACAACGCAAGCAGCCGTCCTCAGGTGAAGAACAGGTCTGTCGGAAAGACAGCGTCTGAATGAACACCACCAAGCTTGGCAACCTATATTAAAGCTGGGTTAATGAGTAATTCAGTAATCGACGTAGTCGGTTAACTGATGTGACAGTGCATGAAGTGCAGCCGGACAGACCGAGTTGAAATTCTGGGATCTTACTTGCAGTAAGCCTATGACCAAATCACCTTTGAATATGCCCGATTTTGCCTGATCTCAGACGCTAAGCGGGGACGAGCCTGGATAGTTCTTGGGTGAGCGACCAACGTGCATTACAGGTGTTATGTTGTGGGACACGAAGTTCTGTGCAGCAAAATGCAAATGTTGTACTGTACTGCTGTGCTCTACGTGCCCCGCCTTCATTATTTTGTGAAGTACGGTCAAATAAACCCCATAGCATGGGGAGGCCCTCATCCAGCAGTGGATTGACAAGGGCTGCACAAGTGCTTGTGGTTGAATTCGTTTCTCGAGGGTAAAGACTTTCTACCGGCTTGGGCACCAATAGAACTCTTTAAGTTTTCTACATTTTGTATATACAATTCTGCATATGTCACCACCCTTAAATCTGTGTAAATGTATCTCACATGGTAAGACCGTCACATTTGTGTGTTTTTTTTATTTGCTCAGGACTGATGAAAACTTTGCATCATTACTGACCCTATTGATGGATTCTTTGCCATTGGTGATTGGCAGAGATTGCCTATTGATCCTTGCTGGAAATGTGTGTGCACTGAGCCTGATGCTGATCAGAGTGTTGGACATCCCCGGTAAGATATTGTAACATGGTCTACACACTTGACAATTCAAATGGAATGACCTCTACACAAAATGGCATTCTTACCCAATTAAGCATAAATGTCCAACTTATATACAGTGTTTGCAATTAACAAAGCGTACATTGTTATCATGCGTTAGTCATTTAAAAAATGTAGCATAGTTTTCTTGAAAGGGTGTTATTTACAGCTATGTTGGGGATATGTATATGTGCAGCATTCGTGCGTGCATGCAGTAGTGGTGGCGTAGTGCTTGGTGAACTGTGCTACAAACCCAACAGCCGTAGTTCGATTCCCGACCACGGCTAACATCAGTGGCAAGTGATATCTGAACCAGTCCTGAATGAGTACCTGGTGCGGTGTGTTTAACATCTTCACTGTTAAAAATAGCGGACGACTGGACTTGCAAACCAGAGGTCGCCAGTCTGATCTCCTGGAGCGGCAGTTGAAACAAATCGGGCAAGTTCTTAAACCAGCACCAGCCTGTACACACAGTAGCTTACTAAATGAGAGCTCCCACAAGCTCACTCTAGAGGGGAGCCTTCTGCCAGCAGCAGTCTGAGGAAGCAATTGCACGGCTCTACTTTTAACCTTTATGAACATTTATTGCCTCTAAAACCAAATCACCCGAAAGGCACCTGATCTCAGAAGCTAACCCGGGTTTAGCCTGCATAGTGCCTCGTTGGGTAACCACCGTGCATAACAGGTGTTATAGGCTTACGGGAGCTACGTGTTTGCTAAAAAAAAAGTTTGATGCTCCTATACTCATACTCTTTGGTTCTTTCGGTAAAGTCACGTAGGTATAAAAATTAAACCATATCACGACGTTTCGATCGCAATACAAGCGGTCGTCCTCAGGCGGAAAACATAATCCAGCAGTGGAACTGCTGACGCAGCGAGAGAGCTGTTACAGCAAGAGGTTATTTACGTGGCGATGGGCAAGCAAGCGCATCTATACGTTCCCCACCTTAAACCTGCACCGACCAGGTGGTGAAGTATGGTCAAATAACCCCCTCGGCATTGGTGGGAGTCCCTCATCCAGCAGTGGATTGACAAAAGGCTTTACATTTACAAACACCGATTTACTGTTGAGAGACTCCATAGGTAACATCCGTGAAAATGTTGTCATCCTGTATTTGTTGTTGTCGTTGCAGCTCTTTCCAAAGCGACGTCGCAACAGTTCTTCACAGCAGTCATTGACTTTCTTTCCAAACCGTACCTGCTACAGAAGAGCACTGCGGAAGGAGAGCAGAGTGTGGTCGTCATGAGGAGTGGTTACAAAGAGTGCTGGGAGGATATTTCAGAGTTGTGGTTTCTGGGCATGCAAGGTCTCGGTGCTTGCTTGGCACGTCTAGAATGGCTGCCGCTTGTGCTGCTTGATTCTGGATGGCTGCTCGAGATTCTACAGCTGCTGGCCAATGCCGAGACAAAGCAAGTGGCCCCGGATCTCCTGCAGTCCTTCCAGAGTCTGTTGACAGAAACGAGTCTCCATAGCAGCCGCTGCAAAGACTACGTTCTGCAACATGCTGGCAGACAATTGAGTGATCGTTACAATATGGATTCGCTTAAAAAAGCGCTTGATCATTGATAGATAACTCACCTGTATCTTAAAAAAAATGTTTTGTTACTGGATTTCAAAATGACTGGTTATTACTGCGGTATTATGTACGTTAAACTTCCTTCACACCACACGTAGTCAACTGCTAATTGGCGGTGCGGTTAAATCGGTACTGTAAGAATGCGTGCCGTGTGCTTCACAATGGACATTAAAGATCCCGTGACGTCAATCGCAAGCGTAGGCCTCAATGTGCAGGCGTCATGGTCCATTGTTGCCAAATAAAAAAAAAATACTTGCAAAATTACTAATTTTGAGAGTCAGGACCCTTCCAAAAAGAATCGTGAGACTTGGCGAGATTTTCCTGGCTAAACAATCATACCAATAATAAATAAGTGCTGGGGTGTTTTTTGTAAAAAAACTAAAACATTGTAGACAATGGTATTGATAAAAAAATGTATCCTAACGAGCAGAATAAAAATGTATTCACACTTCATATCTTTTATATTCGATGTATTTTGTATTTAGCGGATGAGAAACAGTGATATAGGTTTGATTTGAGAAGACTTAGGATTTTACATCTCGGCTGGCTTCTGCCAATAAGGTCCCCTGGTGCACGTTTGCTCCGATTTCTGCATGTTTTGCCACAAGTACATGTGGTTAATGCAGACTTGATGCCTTGCAAAAGGTATCTGGTGTAAAACCTATCTATCATTCCTGCTTGTGCTTGCACACTCTCCTCACACTTACCGGTCGTCCTCACCCAAGCATCTTTTGATTCACTTCTCTAACCCCATCTCTTGCTTCGTTGGTTTGTGCACTAATGCACGCATGCCTCCTTAGAACCTCGGAGTTCTGCTGCTACTGCTGCTACTGCCTCAACTAATGCCATCACAGGGTGTATAGCTTTACCGAGTCAACGCTAGTCAAGATTCTTCAAGTTTATTTTGTTCAAGCAGATGACAACTCGGAGACCCAGGGGTAGTCTCATTTGCAAGAGACCTGGGTGACCAAATCACAAAACAAAGTGCAACAAAATGCAGAGAATTTAAAAGCAACCAAATAGAAAACGGTGCATAAGCAACTTGAGGAAATCGAAAATACTGCACACATTAAACTACATTTTCCTAGAATTAAAGTTGGTTTGGGATAAATTACTTTTTAAGACAGTTTGTAGTAAAATTACATAAAATTTGTAAATCCTTGAGGTCACTCCCTCGCTTCAATCTTCTACAATAACTGGGTTGTGGTCTGAACCGATATCTGCAACCTTGGGTACAATGTAATCAATTTGTTTAAAATCGTATGATTTTTTTACTTCATTTTGTACATTGTAATATGCTTTATATTTGACGCAGTAAAAGTATGGGTCAAGATTACCGCCTAAGCCTGATTTTTCATAGTGTAGTATCACCTTAGTCGGTAGAATTTTTTTGTGGTGATACATTCATTGAAATGGTGTATTCAAGCGCATGTAAATGTTACAACGGAAATTAAGTTAAAAGTACAATATAGTTTGGGGGAAAACGTGCTATATTTTGCACTTCAGCTCTTTCATGACTTTCAAAAGCCTCGAGTTACATTTCAAAATGAATCTATCACAAGATTACAAACACTTTGAACATTACAGAGACGTGCCCCATATCCAAACGCCGTGCAGCTTGACAAATGTGTTGACATTGGTCAGGTTTTTTTGCTTTATTTTTCGAATGTATCTTCGATACCCTTCGGCCTTTGAGAGGTTTTACCGTAGAAGCCTAATGTTTGATACCAAATATTATCTTTGTAGCTCTTATATAAGTACAAGTTCACTCGTCCTCCCCACCTCGTAATGAGCACACCAAAATAGCCACCAATTTGAGGATGGATTTTGCTGCCCAACAAAGTACGTCTTGTGGGTTTTCACAAAGTTTTGCTTCATGAGCCATCAGCGTTGGTTACGAATGACGGCCACTAAGTGCTGGGAGGCAGATGGGAATCGTAAGTCTAATGTTTACAATTTTCAATGAAAAAGCTGAAATGAAATGAAACACGTTTTCATAACTAATACCGTCTGCTTTACATAAACGCCCTTTATGCATACTTGCCTTTATAATAGCGAGTTTGCTATCAATAATCTCGTAATAATAATGTAAAATGCCTTTATGCACATCTGATAAAATCGTTACAGAACTTTCATGGCCATGTTGAAGAGGCTACAATTGCAGAAGATGTTTAGTGTTACCCAACACACAATGTCATTGGTGCTGGCCAAACATCCCAATGTAGCCATACCCTCTTGAAACGGTCTCTTCAGACTTTGTGCGGTTTCCCTGGGCAAATACGTTCTTGTTATTTCTCATTAATGTCATTACACGCACACTTCCAGAATCTTGGGGGATTCTAAGAGGTGTTCACAGAGGGTCCTGGATGTCCTGGTTCTGTAGCTCCTCGTGCAGATAGTCGACGTAGTGGTTGATCTCAGTGACCCTGGCGCGATTACGTTTCACCTCTTCGTCTTGAACCTTCAAGTGAACGATGTGGTCAATACCATGTACGTGTGCATAATGTACAAAGACGCGCACGCACAAAACAAATAAACACGTTCACATAAAGTGGGTGGCTACCCAAATTCATTTGTGGAACTGGAAACTCAACAACTTTTTGTATTTTACCAGGTAAGACCCACTGAGCTATATCATAGCTATTTTTCAGAAGCGACCTAGCCACAAATGATACCGCAACAAAGTGGCTTATCGTGTGGAAGTCTAACGCAGCCAAATACTCTCAACCGGAGGGTCCGGAGAAAAATCCACGCGACCACGGTGAGAACATGCAAACTCCAAATATATATATCAGGGGTCGGACCCACAACCTCCTGTATATCAGGCGAGGTCGTTAACATCTCGCCACCGTGGCACCATGGAGAACGTTATGCCGTTGATGCACACAAGTACAATCCCGTTCTGGGATTTCCTTGTTCGCAACAAATGCTACTGGAATACACTCATCTGGAATGCCAAATGGTGGACAAACTCAACTGTATTTCATGTTGGCAAATAAACAAACCTCTTCTGTGTATTCCCAACAATTGCTGAGGCAGCACGGAATTGTTTTGGACACTTAAATAGTGAACAGCCTTTGCTACTCAGACTGCTAGAATGTGGTCTCAACGCTCCATATCAGCCATACTTCACCACTCTTGTCAATGATGGTGGATAGAGGGGTTGGGCGTTGAACCGCATTTACTTGAGTCATTTTCATTATATAGGATCCTGAAAGTGAGGAAACCCGGGAGGGAGCCTGTGGTTTACCGCATTTGACCCAAGCGCAACCTCGGGGAAAAAATTACCAAATATTATTTACAGTGGGTGTAGCGCCACCTGCCGGACAAATCACGTCATTTATACAAATGACCACTGCCTACATTCTTTGGGTCTTTCGGTCAAGTCACGTAGATAGAAGAAAATATCACAATAAATAATACAAATAAATAAAATTTAAAATAAAGTGAATAAAACATAAAAAAAATATCACGACGTTTCGATCGCAACACAAGCAATCGTAATTTTTTTTCTCGATTGCTTGTGTTGCGATCGAAACGTCGATATATGTTTATTTTTTATCAACTTTGTTTTCATTTTTATTTTTTTATTTTATTCTTACTATTTTTTTCTATCTACGTGACTTTACCAAAAGACCCAAAGAATATGAATGCCCGCAGTCACGAAAGCTTTAAGTCAAGATTTAACCACTGCCTATCTTCAGTATTTAGCGTAAGGCCACGGTGACGTAGGCACACCTAAACTCTCTCTCGATACTCACTGGACAACTCGCCCAGATCATCCCACGCCTGCTGATTGGTGAATGCGAAAACCTGGCGAGTGTCGCGTGTCACGTGATGTGTGTGCTGCCCTGACAGGTGGATGCGGTTAGGTGTTCACAAATATGTCCAAAAAATGCTCTCACCCTTTGGACAAAGGTGGCCATCCAGGTGTTTGCTCGAGAAATGATGTCATCTTCCTTGTTGTCAATCTTCAGTAGGTGAATATCGTGTGAAGCACTCGCCGCGTTGACGAGTGAATCCTTGTCTGTGAATATCTAAATAAACCCCCACCGAATAGAGTTTATCATTAATGTACCTGCAGAGCAACAAAACTGACGTGGTGTTTGATCGGACACGATAAACCACTGCAGCGACGCTCCGTACTGCATATGTGCTTCATGTTCATCTGACCAACTTCCAAATTCCCTTCAACACATTGAAGGGGTTGTTGTTGGCACCGGCGTACAAACACATCACATCACAGCAAAACTCTCCACCGCTCTGGGTGGCACGCGTAACAGCTCTCACCCTGAAGTGTGCAGATGAAAGCTGGCGAAGATAGATAATAATCGGCGAATGTTGTGGGCAATGGTCTCATTTTTAATAGAGAGGGCTATACTCTGGTCTTTTGTGCAAGATCCATTGTACAGAAAATTAATATGCAAACATTCCTTTGTGTAATAACGAAGTGCTATGAATTAATGTAGTGTTATTATTATTATTCATCTTTCGACACCCACAGGCGGATATGCACATCTCCTTTATGAATGGACATTTACAGACAGGCCACAGTGGTGCGATTGTGGACAAGCAGCCCAGACTGGCCCACTCAGTAAACCACTGTTAGTCTGCGCTCTTTCAATGGAGGAGCAGCAGCAAAACTACACGACATGTTTTTCCTGGAGCCCTCTCGTCATGGCCAGCAGACCTCGACATTGGTATTTAGCTCCTGAACATATTGCCATATATAATAGAATAAAATTTCCTAAAATTACGTAAACACCATTTAGGAAAGTGGCAGTTTTATATATTTTTTTTTATTATAAAATATAACGTTTTAAGTTGATATATAAGTATAGTATGACAATATTCGACGATGTTTATAACACTTTAGAGTGCAATTTAATGTCCATGTATCATCATACGAAGAATTATCATAAATGTTGGTTTGATATTAGCAGCAAATATCTGGAGGTGAACATGAAAAAAACCAACAAACCAGTCTCAGATCTTCAGATAATTCTTCTTTTAGTTCATTTTTGACAATCTTGTCAAATGTAGACATCAACACCTCTAAAAGTTTTTCATGGTAGTTGTTCTCCAGTTCACGGCACTGGGACAATGTAGGAAGAAGCTCAGGAAACGTGGGCAGAGCAAACAAAACATTTGAGAACACCAGTTTAAAACGTTCATAATCACTATTTTTGTGTTTAGATTGTTGTCCTTCCCCTGCACCTCTGATTAGTACGGTTGACTACATACAGTGCGAAAGAAGTTCCACATACATACGTTTTGAGCACATTTGGCAAATAATACATATTCTAAAATCACCCACAAATTATTCAATTGAGCGTATACACAACAATCATTGCCCCCTCCAAGCAGACTAATGTCCCAGGTCACTTTTGCAAACGATACTCATCCTGGCCTCTTGAGTTTTCATCTGGTTAAACAAACTCAAAACTTAAACATGTTGAAGATTCTTCATGCACTCTCAACCACCTATCAGGTCACCACTGATCCAGCTGGCTACCTCTGCTCTGTAACTTCACGGAGTGGAGCAATTTATTGCAATTCTTTTTACTCCCGTTTTTGTTCCGGAAATGTTCCATTGGGTCGAAGTGTTGACGTCCCTATGCCCATAACTACAGTATTATCAATATTTTTAAGAAGCGTAAATTCACAAAGAGTGGTAAATACACATTAGGCAGGGTTCCACACTCCTGTACTGTAATCCAGTGCTTTGAAGGCAAGGATTGACGGACCACACAGCTTTGGCAGGCTCCAAAATCTGTTGAGCTGTGAGGTGTCCAGAATATGACAGTCCAGCAAGTGGGTTTTTGATCCTGGTTAACCCCCACTTTAAAACACCGATTAACAAGAATGTAGACAAATCTCCGAATCAGGACCCTCCTAAAAAAAAGTCTTAGAACTCAGTGAGGCTTTTCTGGATAATGTATACATTATTATAATATTTTTTCCAAGTGTATATTTGTTGTCAACGCATGTGATGGCACATACGTGGCACGGTACATAACGCCCCAGGGATGTGATCCTACAGCAGAACCAAACCAATGAATCGTTCGGTTGGTCGCAGATGTTTTACCCTGTTACCATGATGCATCTCTTATTAACTAAATTAATATTTTACAAGCCTTCATTAATCCACCACCGGACGAAGGCTCCTCCAAAGTCATGTTTCTATGAAATTAACATGTTTCGCAGGTTTACCAAGTAATATCATGAATAAGTCGTGTAATTTGGGAGCAATGCAAACAATGCCAAAGGATATAATCCTTGCACGTTTTCAATAAACGCGCCAACCATGTCAGTGAGGTTCCTTTCAAAGTCCTTCACCACATCCTGTGGGTGAAAGCAGAGTTAAAGCAATCAAAGGAAACAAGCGGTCACAGCTCTGAACCACCGCAGAGCAGGGCACGGCACATACGGTAACCTCCTTTGATGGGAAATTCAGAACGGTCGGAAGAAATGTGACTCCTGTGGTCACCAAAGCCAGACCACGGATCGCACGATCCAACAGTGCCCACACTGCCGATACGCGGGCAATGTCACCGACATCCACAAGCCTCCACGGAGGCCAAACTCACATTTGTGTGAACAGATCAACAGGATGTTGCGAAAGATAAATTATTGGGAGGTTACAGCAGCAGTATACATACAATCGCAGTGTGCAACACTGCTTGCCGAACCCCAATTTATATGATAATTTGCAGCCCATTGTAAATCCACTTCTTGACCATTCTTCATTGTCCGATGAGCACGGTTAGCTACGTACGGTGCGAAAGAAGTTCAACATGCATAAAAGTCCTTGCTACTCGTGTTAGCCGTGGCCAGACTTCAAACTCGGGTCACCAAGTTTACAGTGCAGTGCATGAATCACTGCACCGCTGCCTTACCCCCCAGCGATGTAAGGGGAGCAAAAATATCGCAGCCGCTATACCGCTGAAGTGGTACTCAGTTAGCATTGGCACACACCTCGAGATTGATGGGAATGGGCACCACTCTCCCTTTTCATGATTTAGAGTAATGCTTTCTGAAAGGGCAGATTAGTGCAGAATTTTCCACGTAAAGTGCAAGCAATTTTACTTCTGAGAATTTGGTTTTGAAGTGTTTCGGCTCCGACTCACTTGGTGTTTGAGGCCAGAACACGTCAATAATTATATGACACTAAAGGCATATTTTCACATTTCTCACCTCCAGCTGGTCGAGCAGTTGGATCTCGAGTTTCATCAACGCATCCCACATATTATTTATTTTCTGGCTGTGCTCCAAAATCTTAGCATCCAGAACAGTAGTATCGGTGATCTGCTGTACTTCTTCGAGAAGCTTTAAAACACAAACACGTTCACCGCACTTTAATATAGCAATCGATTTTTTTAATTGGCACCAAGAGCCACAATGTTCATTTCCACCTCTTCCATGCCTTCCCTCCCATAGTTGCCTCAAGCTTTCCCGCTATGCCCAAGACTCCCCCCCCCACCCCATCTGTGTATCCATGTCCGGCTTAATTTCATCATTTGGCTACTTATGCCCACATTATATCTTTTCCATGTTGAAACCACCGCTCATTCCTTTCGCTATGCGTATCGTACTTCCATTTTACACAAATGCATCCACTCTTTGTCCCCCACAATTTCTCCCAGTTGCTTTCCAATCTGTCCCCTGTAAATGTAAATTTCCTATCTCTCCCCAGTAATGTAAATTATCCGAACATATCTAAATCCGAACCTCCTTCCTCGTACACACATGTATATAGCGGCAAGTGCTAAAAAATGCATTTTATTATTATAAACGTATCACATTTTCAATAGGCTCATGTTACATATTCATCACGAAACTGAACCTTTTCCCCACAATACGTTTAATTGCAACCTCAACATCACTCAAGGGCAAATTAGAAGTAATTTCCGTAAGCCTTTAACAAGCGTAGCTTTTAATGTCGGTTGTCAATTACCTGCGCGTTTTCTTTTTCAAAATCACCGATGATGGCTGAAGCCGCCTGCCGGTTGTCGCCCTTCGCTTCGTTCACAGACCTGGTGAAATCATCGACTTCTTCCTCCCTCTGCCTATACTGCTGCAGTCCATATTCAAAAATCTTCTGGCAAATGGCAACAAACTTCTGTCGATAAGTAACTGTGATCAAGGAAAATGGCAAGTGCAAAGCAACGCTTTTGTTTTTCTCCTTTAACACGTTAACGGTTGTAACATTACGGGGTTACACCATTACCCTATTATCCGTTATGACTGCCATCTGAAGAGTTAAGTTGATCTGTGTCTCATCCTGCTAAGTGAAGATTGGCAATGTTTCTCTTGGTTGTGAATTTGTGAGTACAACTTACCCTACTGTTTTCATGGTAACCCTCTCTGAAGCAGAGGTCAAAAGGTCATTACAACCAATGAAGGTGTAGATACGACACCTCAACGATGCTGCCTTCCATATGCCAGGTCCCACAGTGATTGGACTTCCTTCTAAAAGACTGAAATTCCTACTCGTGTCCCTTCATCTGCCTTTCGAGCTTTCCTTTGATCGCATGCTTCTGTCTGCCACTCAAAAGCTGGCCTATCTCAGTGGCCTGCCCCCATCCATCGTTCAGACATCCCCCACCCATTGTGATCTCATCTTCCTGGTGAGATCATCGATGCTTTCTCGCCACATTGTATACCAAACTTCCAAGTTGCTTCCACGATCATGTAAAGGAATTCCAAGCACCCCCTGGATATAATCCTCCACATATGATACTCAAAACCAAAAGTATATTTCAAGTCCCTCTGAATGTATGTGCAATTATATCACGTACATGATGTCCATATTATTCACACACTATGTGTGTGCCCATTTCTATTTGTGATACAACAAATGTGTACAGTATATATAAAATACACACAAATACAGGATAAATTATTGTACCATACAATCAAAAGGATATTCATCAACAAAACCTGACATTTCAGGCAATGATTGAAGTATTGCACCATCTGTATCTTCAGAAAACATGTTGTCAAAGACAGCCTTGTCATCCAGAGTGTCCACAAATGCAGCCTGTAAAGAGACATTGAACATTGCTATTCCAGGAGATTCATCAACTTACGGGAGCATTAATACTGGGATTGTTCCAATAATTAATTTGAATTCCATCAATTTTTTCTCTCTCATAATGTATCACTTACACGTGCTCTCGTCAAAGTTATTAAACTGGAAGTGTTGGTTTTTCCCATGGTGAAGAAAATCAAATCTTTCTCGGAATTAGCACTCTTGGAATGTGGAGACAGGTCTATCGATGCTAACCAGTCACCGGGCCTGACCGCCTTTCTTTTGAACCCCAGAGTCTCTATCTTGAACATTTTGGTGCCCATGTGGAACTTCAATCTCACTCAGAATCCCCCAGAGGACTTTGGGGTCAGGAATAACTCAGGAGTAAAATTTCAAATTATCCTGTTCAAGGACAGATTTTCTCAGGCCCTCCAGATATAGAAGCCTGTCAATGCCATCCAATAGTCCTGGCTTTCATTTTGGCAGGGGTGGAGGAGTGGTTCTGTGAGGACCACTGGTTATGGATCTTACTATTGCCACTGCCTCTGTTCCCCTTGCCCCTGGAGCTGGGCTAAGAGACCGACTGCAATACTGAGATCTCAACAAGACTGACCCAGTTCCGACCGGTGGAGGGATTTCGCGGTTCTGAACTGTGCCATCCTCTGCAGATCATGGCAGGCATTCTAGAGGCTCTGGATTGGAGGAGCTCTGGATTCCATGCACACACCTGTTCATTGTTCGTGAGACTTACGTGCATAGCTAACACGACACTGTATTTTAGAGGCTGAATATAGATAGATAATTAATTTAAAATTGGTACGTTTTATGTGATTTGACTTAAAGTGTATTTGAGCGAGAGTTCTATTATGGGATTGGAAAGGAAGGCAGTGACACTGTGAGAAATGGCAATTGTATTGTCCAAAAATAGATGGCACAGAAGTGCTCCATTAATGCAGTGGTGGTGCATGTTCATTTTATCTGAGTTTGGTAAAAGCTTGCCAATGTCTCCATCACCAACATTGGAGGAAACCGTTAATGCAATGGGTTTTTACTGTTTCATCAGTCCCATATATTTATAGACATAAATACCTTATGCAATGCCAGCATTTTTTCCTTTTGCAAATGCTCTTCTTTCTTCTGCAATGCAATGTTCTCATTATGCTTGAGCTCCTCAATTAAATAGTGATACTTTTGAAATGCTTGCTCTTTCTAGGAGACAAATAAAATGTGTTGTGTTAAAGCAGACTAGTAAATGTTTAAATGCCACTTCTACAAAAAGCACATAACACAATTGGCAATGCTTTGCTCTTCACTAAATATCTGACAGACATACACATTTCAATTTTATTTTTACGTAGGCAGTGATTCATTGCAATCACCCATTCGATAATTGCACGCTTTATTTAACAGTTCCATTTATAGTTTAATTTTGTGCAAGTGCCATGTTCTTTTTTTAGTAATGTGTGGACATACACATTATCATATCTTCAAGGAATGTATCTAGCGACTGAACCAACGCGCTTCGCAAAGAATTAACAACGATACATTTGTTTAACACGTAGGCTTTCGCGACCAATATTATTCATAATCAGTTGATGAGTTAATGATGACGTCACCCTGCTGCTGCTCTATTTAAGACCGGGAGCCAGAGCAGAGCCTCACCATTCTGGCGAATTGCCCGATGATGCTGGATGCAATTACCAGCGAACCGTCGTGCTCAAAAATTGTAAATGTTGTGGTTTCACGCTTCAACACACCGGTGGGCTAAAGCAGTGAACTATTTGTCTTTTGTCAACGTGACACTCTTTTTGCTGATTGGCCGTGTTGGGTGGTGGAGGGTTACGACACATTTATAAATAACGCGATCTAAACCCAAAAAACGTTGATTATGAACGGTACATTTGATTGAGATGGTGGAGAACGAGGTGAATGAAATATATTAGAGGAAGCCATGGGAGCAAATCTGTGATGATGCGTGAATTCTGTGAAAGCGAATTGATGACAGTAAATTATGATGAATGGATTGCATGAATAAAGGAACGACAATAATGGGAAAAAGTTTTTACAAATATTTTCTGCAAGTACATCACTTTAAACACGTACCGTATTGTCATCCAGACGTCTGAAATCCAAGTAGACCAGGTTTGGTAAATATGCAGCAATGTAAAACTTGTATTGCTCATCCTCACACAAAGGGTTTCCTCTCAAATTGAGAGAACTAAGTCTAGGAAATGTTCTCAAGTAAACCATCTGCAACAACAAATATACAACAAAAATTAATGTACTTGGAATGACTTGAAGCAGCAGATGTGTGTGGTGTGAATGAACTAACTTCTTTACACGAAATGTAATGTGAACGCAACCATTGTTTGAAGGCTTACATTTGGTAACTGATCCAGAGAGTTGTTTCCAGCAGAGAGGATTTGCAAATTCTTTAATGAGTCCATATTTTCCAGCCGTGAAATTCGGTTGTTGCAGATACTCAAATCTTCCAGTTTTGTCAATGTATCCAGACCTTTGATAACTTCAATGTTATTAAATGACAAATCTACAACACACACACAAAATCCTTTTTCCTTATTAACTACATCGCTGGAAGTTTACATTCTCACGCTGAGAAACAACCTTATTGGAAAAAGAGTGCTCTGTGGAAGTGACGGACAACACATTAAAATGTAAAATTCTGTACAGGTGCACCAAATAGATTTCGCAAATTACTTTGTATTCAACACTACACACAGATAGAATGCTTACCGAGCCATTGGAGATTGATTAGTGACTCGAGTCCTTCAATCTTCTCAATTATATTGTTATCCAGTTGCAGTTTTGTAATGTTGTTACACTGCCAAAGGTTATCAATTCTAAGAATGTCTGGAAAATGTGACGGAACACAAATCATTACGACGCGGTATGAATAATGAGACGTGTTTGCACAAGTAAAATTAAGCACATTTAACGTGTTTTCAGAAATTTGTTATTCATTAATTAATCACAACCTATGACTAAATAATCCAGGTTCATAAATATATCTAAAGCTAAGCAGAGCTGCGTCTGGATTGTGGTTGGATGGGTGGACACCATGCATAACAGGTGATATAGACTACTGTGGGGCAACGTGATGAGCAGCAGAGGGAAATGCACCAAAAATAATTGTTGTACTGTACTATGCTGCCATGAATAAGCTCTAGAAATTGACCAACCTGCACTGACCAGCATAGTGAAGTATGGTCAAATACACCTCCACACACGAATGTTCTCCAATACAGTACAATATTTGGGCAGGTAGAACACAATACAATTTGAATGTCTGTACGGTGTAAATGCGACTGCAACTTTAGGCACCATACAAAACAAAATGTTTATCATGCAGATCAAGGAGAATCAAAATCTTTTTCACAGATGGCACACATTTATATGATACACACAGTATACTGTATATATATAATTAATTTAACAGATGAGACAGGCAGTCATAGGCAGAGGAAATGAGTGAAGGTGACTGAATTGGCTCAGGACATTAACAAGGACAGGCATTCGATGGGACATATGGCCCGGTAGGTAGGCACGTTCCAATCTTAAGGGGGCAGCAAAAGGGCAGCAGTGACTTCCCACTGAGTGATGGTTGACTTGGGGCTTTATAGACAAGAAGACCCTTGGTTGCCGAAGTACATGAGCGGGAGCAGGAGTGAGATTCGAGTCGCCAGGTAGGCAGTGTGCACACATTTTTGAGAAAATCGTTTCGGAACATAGTACGCGTACAGCATTATCTGGAGCTGGCATGGAGGGAGGCCTCCAATGACAATGATTAAGATGATGTGTGTTTAAGTTTGTATTTTTTGCCTGTTAAATAAAAGTACAATGTCTTGCAATGGATCCATCAGCAAAGGTCAAATCATTCAAGTAAGTATAATATATAAAATATGGCACGCAACCTCAATCAGCAATAAACGGCGAAGACGTCCTCACTTTTAAAGTCAAGTCTCAGTTGCGTTATCTCCTTGAAGTCAACGTCTTGCAGATGAGAAATCTTTCCAGGCTGTCGCTTGGGGTCTTGTTCTTCCACGGCCTGTATCAACATCTCCTCGTCAATAATATTCGGCTCCCCCGAATCGTACAGTTGATTCATTTTGTACCTGAAAGGAAAAGAAACACACTTTGGCATTTTGTCAACAACACGTCTTAGCTTATTCCAAATAAACATGGAAACTTAGACCAAAGCGTGTGTGTCCGGCCGGGCGTGGTGGTGGTGTCGAACCGCTTACATAGCTGTCAACCCCTTATCAGTACCCCTACCTTGTTACAGACCAATTCAGACATTATTGGTCACCCCGTGCCCTTGTAAATCTCAACGTTCACCCTACAAAGTCCCATCACAAGGGAGAAACACAAACAAATTGACAAAAACTTTTGCCCATATTGAAACGGCTGTACGCCGTATGGACCTGAAAACTCAATTTCCCTGGACAAGAATACGGGGTAAACCGTATGGGTTGATAGGGTACGTGTTGACAGGGTACGTGTTGACAGGGTTTGCGTTGACAGGGTACGTGTTGACAGGGTTTGCGTTGACAGGGTACGTGTTGACAGGGTTTGCGTTGACAGGGTACATGTTGACAGGGTACGTGTTGACAGGGTTTGTGTTGACAGGGTTTGTGTTGCCAGGGCAAGTGTTGACACGGTACGTGTTGCCAGGGTACGTGTTGCAGGGTACGTGTTGCAGGGTACGTGTTGACAGGGTACATGTTGACAGGGTACGTGTTGACAGGGTACATGTTAGCAGGGTACGGGTTGACTGGGTACGTGTTGACAGGGTACGGCTTGACAGGGTACATGTTAGCAGGGTACGGGTTGACAGGGTACGTGTTGTCAGGGTACGTACGGGTTGACTGGGTACGTGTTGACAGGGTACGGCTTGACAGGGTACATGTTAGCAGGGTACGGGTTGACTGGGTACGTGTTGACAGGGTACGGCTTGACAGGGTACATGTTAGCAGGGTACGGGTTGACTGGGTACGTGTTGACAGGGTACGTGTTACAGGGTACGTGTTGACAGGGTGCATGTTGACAGAGTACGTGTTGACAGGGTACGGCTTGACAGGGTACATGTTAGCAGGGTACGGGTTGACTGGGTACGTGTTGACAGAGTACGTGTTGACAGGGTACGGCTTGACAGGGTACATGTTAGCAGGGTACGGGTTGACTGGGTACGTGTTGACAGGGTACGTGTTGACAGGGTACGTGTTGATGGCCACCCACCAACCCGTGCCACAGTGCCGGCACCTTCATTAGCACGGCTACTCGCCCCAACAGGCCCGTCAAGGCTACTCGGGGTGAGGGGACCCATCTGCCTCTGCTCCCCGACCTTCCCTCTCACTCGCACTTCTTCACGGTGCACCTAGCCTGGCACAAGTTTGGGGGTCTGGGGGACCGCTTCGTGTTCGCGAGGCGCCTCTCTCGTCGTTTACCGCGATGAGGAGGAGGAAGAGATGAAGGAGGAGGAGGAGATGAAGCGAGGCCCAGGCCGCCTCCTGCGCCTCCGCTCCCCTCGGCGGCGTCGCCGTCGCTAGGAGACGGCGACGTCGCCGTTGCTAGGAGACGGCGGAGGGGGAGGGCCCAGTGGAGACGGCGGAGGGGGAGGGCCCAGTGGGGGCGGCGGTAGAGGCGGGGCCGGTGGGGGCGGCGGAGGGGGCGGGGCCGGTGGAGGCGGCGGAGGGGGCGGGGCCGGTGGGGGCGGCGGAGGGGGCGGGGCCGGTGGGGGCGGCGGAGGGGGCGGGGCCGGTGGGGGCGGCGGAGGGGGCGGGGCCGGCGGGGGCAGCGGAAATACAGAGCCATATTAGTACAGGTTTTTTCTGGGTTAGTTCGCATAAATATATAAATGTGTTGTTAAACCCGCCACAGCCAATTAGTAAAGTATGTCACATAAACAGAACATGCCAATTCGTTACTAGTATAGCACACCGGTTGTGTGTTGGAGAGCCAAGCCACAACATTTACAATCTGAGTACGACGTTTCGCCAGTAATTACAACTGGCTTCATCAGGCGACAGCCAGATTTGTGGAGAAATCCTCCCGTTTCGTTCCTTTTTTCCGTCACCCATATTCATGCCGCTATTTTTGTCCGTCATCACTGCCACCGTTTGGGAAAATTACTTTTTTTTAAAGACAATTGGACCCATTCAGCATTTTTGGAAATTCGCGTACACCCAATTAAGCTTAAACATCACCTTTCGCCAGAGCCGCAATTGCTGAATGGCCTTACGTCGGCTGAGGGTTAGACTGGGGTTAGGGGCATAACCGTGGTGCAGAATCACATCAATCATATCAAGGGGTTGTCGGGCGTGTAGGAGGTACTTAAGAATGCATGGCAAAGCATTCCGCACAAATTAATGTATATTTTTGTGGTGCCTCCATTCCATGACAGATTTTCTGCACTTCATTGTACAATTTGGAGCACGTTACTGTCGCTCTGAACTTTGCGGCAAGTAGTGTAATGGAAAAGGCACAAGCACATGAAGATGAGTGGGATAATGATTAAGATAATAATAGGGTTTTCACCTTTTTCTGGCAAAAAACAGGTGTTACGATGTTAAAACACCAAACTAAAACCTTTTCCAAGGAATGGTGTCTGCATTAACCACAATGCTGTGGTTTTCACACATGATGATGATTGCTTGTGTTGCAATCGAAACGTCGTGAGAATTGTATTGTTTTATTTTTATTATTTTATTAGTTCCCTTCTACGTGACTTTACCGAAAGAACCAAGAATATGAATCCCTGCAGTCACGAAAGCTTTAAATCGAATGAAAAAAAACATACTCTGATTTTGTCCTTGAAACTGATTGGTCCACACCAGAGACATCTTTCTTTTGAGCCTCGTCTCAAACGTTGTTTGACCAGAGGACGTCAAAAGGCTCCTTGTGGCGTCCTCTGGTCTAACAAAAGAAAGCTGTCTCTGGTGTGGACCAATCAGTTTCAAGGACAATGCATATATCAGAGTATGTTTTTTTTTGAATTCTGACCACAAGCATTGTGGTTAATGCAGACATGATACCTTGCAAAAGGTTTCAGTTTGGTGTTGTAACATCTTTACACCTGTTTTTTGCCAGAAAAAAGGGGGAAACCTATTACAGTATCATATTTTGGTACTGGAAAAGGAGGTCCCATGATGAATGATAAAGATGTCATTGGTACATCGATTATTAATAGTTTGATGACTGCGACAGCTGTTGATGTATATGTTAATGCGAATGATGATGACTACAATGGTGCTGTTGCTACCGATAACAAAGACAATACTGAAGCAGAAGGGGTAGTATACCAGGGAAAATCAAATTGAGTCCCAATTTTTATTACCGAGTCTTTTGCAGTACCCAGAGGAAACTCATCATCAGAGGGGATAATGATCATCCACTTGCTATACTGTCTTCAGGCAATTACACACAGCCCAGCATAATTCTCCACCTTATCCACGAACCCATCCAACCCCCCCCCCCCCATCTTCATAATTGTTATACAAGGCGTCAAGCCTCGTAAAAACTACAATATCGCCCTTTGGTGGAGGGCAAAGCAACACACACACATCGGCATTTGTGCAAGTCGGACGCGCTCCGATTGGTCGGCTCGGCCGGACAGCTGTGACATCATCGCGCTCGGCTCCCGATTCACTCCCTGCGGCAACCGATTGGCTGTAACGTGGCCCGCAGAAATTGGGGTTATCGCCACCGGTCCACACACATTCTGCACGACGAACCGGCCCGGAAGACCGCTACCCAAATTTGGCACGATTGCTGTTATCGAATTTTTTAATCATGCAGTCCATTCTACTAGAGAGTAGAAACTAAATTATACATGATTCAGGCCCACAGACTGGTGCTTTGTTGCAGAACATGTTTTAGCAAGAATGAATAAACTAGCACAGATATTGTCTTATTAATACTGAATATAGGTGTTGTTGGTAATGAATTCAAAATGATCGTATGTTACTTTACCGAATCAGTGGTGGTATACTCGTGAAGTATTTGAAATCACAATCTTGTCCCTTAGATGTTTGCATTAATATCCTTAGGGGTCATTAAATCTTCCTCCCCTGCCATATCCAGATTTAAATTTTAATGAACCCTTAATGGATTCCTCGCTAATTACATGCTTGGCATTGTTAAGTTCAAACTGCAAAGCCTCGTGATGGTTTTGAGAACAGAACGCGTTGCGGTAAGCAGACTGACGATCTGATCGCAGGCACTTCTGAGGGAAGCAAGAAATCTGCTCTGCCAACTTCATAGCTTCTTCAAATGCTGTGGAAACAAACACAAATATTTGTAATACATAATATTGGCGACATAGTATTACGGTATTGTGTATTGTACCATAGGTTGCATCACCCTACAAAGTACAATGTTTGCCCAAATAGTAGACATCAAAGGCAGCAATATCAACATAACGTTGTTGTGCATAATATTGTTTATTCCCAATAAAACTGACAATTCCATGTTGCCTAGTGCACTAGGTATTCAGCTCCTTTGTAAATCTGCCAGTGGAACACAACCACAAGGAACTGTGGTAGTGCCAGATGTAAAAACGTGTCTAATTTAGTTTCATGCTTATGTGCAATGATGAAAACACTTTTCAAACTTTCAAATATATTTTGTTTTTAACCAGGTGAGAACTCTGGAGACCAGGATAGAGTGTCATTTGCAAGAGAGACCCGGGGCATTAATTAGTCTGGCAGTAGGGGCCGATTATTACGTTGTGTGTGTTTATATATAATCCCAATAGAGTCATTTGCGGTGTAATTTTCGAATGCGGCAAAATTGGATCCCGACGCCGGCATACAATGGCCTGCTCTTGCGAATGACGTCCATGGGGTTATTATTTTTTTCACCAACTTTCACCGTGTCACGCCGGATTCGAACCGTGAATCACTGCAACGAGCGGCGAACGCGAGGCCGCTGGGCCCAAGTCGACGCCCAAGGGTAGGAGCATCATTTTCCCCAAATGAGTGAAAAATATTTTAACAAACTTTTCATTCCCTTCATTGACAAGCGAAACGGCAGGAGGATGGAGTGCAGGAGCGAGCGCACGCAACGCGGCCCAATCCGTGCTGCGTCGATGACCTCTCCTATCTATCTCTCACACCGGACTCACAGGAATAGCCTCGAGAAAAAAGATTTGAAAATGCGGAACTGCGTGTGGAAGCTGCCATGCCAACTAAAATTTGAGAGCAAGTATAAAGTAATGAGATACCATACTATTTATAGTCGGACAGAATTTCATTATTTTATATTCTACCGCAGCGTCCACACTGCACAGTGGCCAGGTTCAGGTTATCAAACGTCTTTCTGTCACTGTTCCACAAGAGAACGCTCAATCAATGACTGCATCGTTGTGCACCGACACGTAAGGCCGTCAATCGCTTACAGCATGTAAAGGGTTAAGATACAGTTTTCGGATGAATATGATTTTCACAAACGACTTGTTAGTAAAAATCAATCGTGGATGTGTTTGATCACATCTGAACGCCATCACTATCGAGATAATGCTGTTCCTCTCGTGTTGGAGTGATCATTGTCGATATTCACATATGGCTGCAAATTCTGGGTAATGGGGGAATCTGATGAATAAAATATAGCAACTGCTGAAATGAGCTGGCTGAGAAGAATAGTGAGTGTCTAAGGCTAGAAACAATACAAATGGAAGCAATAAGAGAACCACTGGAACAAGAGGTTACACTGACCAAGAGATGAACCAGGAGAGAGACGACTGCGGTGGTTTTGACGCGCGTCTAGGACAGATCCAGAGAGAATTGTGGACTTGGCGTACACACGCACAGGCGCACAAAACGTAGAGGAGCACGAAAGGCTCACTCAATTGAGTCGGTGAAAAATGATCTCGAACAAAAAGTGCGACGAGTAGAGGAAGCCGTAAAGCTGGTGCAAGACAGGAACAGGTGGAGAGATCTCACTCGGCCCCAGCGTCTCTACGGGAATACGGAATGGAACTAACGAAGAAGAGAGGAAAAGAGGTTGTACTGATCACTTGCGAGTATGGATAACTATTCATGGGCATGTTATAGCGCTGAGTGTAGTGGGAAAATATACAAGTACACCGACACAGAGTGTGACTTTGGAGGCATAGATGAGTGGAGTTTCTCATCAATTGGGTTTTTAATTGACTTGAACATTCGCGACATTTTTGATATGGAATGCTTAAAGTAGCTTTCACTGGAATACTGGCCCCCATGCTCACTCACTTTGCAGACACAAATACGTCTTTTCCACTTGCACATCTAAACTGTGCCAGCCCGGCATCGGTCAGGAGGAACAGGCTTTGTTTGCCCACTGCAGAAGCAAATCCGTGCCGCTGACATCACGCACAGTGGGACGTCGAGATGCATGTCGATGACTCAGTGGCGCACACGGACACACTCGCACATACACTGGCATATACTCACACGCTCTCTCACACACACAGACAGACACACACTCTAACACAGCACCTCTGATTAGCACGGTTGGCTACGTACAGTGCGAAAGAAGTTAAGCATACGTACACACAACACACATTTCTTCAGCGCCCCAACGTTCTGGCTAGCTTGAGATGATGTCGGACACATTGCACGCCGTATTAGCCTTGCCCCGAGCCCAGATTTTCCCCAACAAAGATTATGGCTCAGTTCGGTAAATAGCCAGTGGAAATCTACCCATGCTGGCTCGGCTCAGATGTGCCCGTGGATATAAAGGGGTAAAAATTGTCTTCGTGTGAGGCAAACCTTTTCCCTTGGTCGTAATCCGATTGGCCAATCCAAAATGGAACGCCTCCTGTGCGTCAACTGGACGGCCAGTCAGAATAAGATCCAGAGCTCGGGACAGTCCAATTAACTTGGGAAGTCTGACAGTGCCTCCGTCGATCAGAGGTACTCCTACAAAAAAGGGAGAAACAATATTTTAAAATATTAGACATTATTATCGTCGACCTCTCATAATAGACAAATGAAACAATGCGCTTGAAACTATTAAGTCAACATTTCCGAATTTATAATTACTGATTAAGACAATAGACGACATGGCATCATTCTAACATGTAACACTAGAGGGCAGCCTATCCTACAGCTGGGGTGAGGTGATACAAGACCTGAACATCACCAGGCATTCACCGCTCACCTAACGCCACTCACCAGACACGTGACATGCACACCAGACACTTACCACTCACCTAACACGAATCACCACTCGTCAGTCATTGCCACCAGACCTTCAACGCTCACTACCCACTAGGCCAGGGGTTGGGAAACTGCGGATCTGGAGCCGCATGTAGTTCTTTTAGGACTTAATTTTCTTGATTTTTTTATATACCGAATTTGGAGAAAAAAACGGCTCTTCGTGTTATTTCGTCTGCCGACCCCTGGCCATAATAGTCCAGTTCACCATAGGCAGGGCTCGGCAACCTATAGTCCCGCATGTGGCTCATTAAGGACCGCTTCGTGACGTATTCACACGCATCGCAGCTCTTGAAATATTGACTTGTTACCGAATTCGAAAAAATGTATCTTCCTGTTATCTTGGTTGCCGACCCCTGCATTAGGCAATTATACTCACCAAACACTCTCACCAGACACCACTGACGATGCCCTGAACGTATACGAATCGTCTTTTAACAGTTTACTTCGACAGCAGGGGAGACGACTTTTGAAGTGAACGAATGTGCTCTTTTTTACCAAACCGTCTGCAGAAGACACCCATCGTGGCATCTTCCTCGACCACCCTCATGTCCGCAAGCAAGGCCAGCTCCAGCCCGCCGGCCACGGCGTAGCCGCTCACCGCAGCAATCACAGGCTTCGTCAGCTCCATGCGCGACGGGCCCTGCGTAAAACCAGCAATGACGACGCATCAGGAGCGACACGTCCACGTACTTATGATGCATCTCTCAAAATATTCCATGCGCAGCGATCTGGAAACCGCCTTACGTTGTCTAATATAGATTTACACAGCGGCGCCTTGTTCCGAGGCGCTTTACGATTACTGTGTATACATTGTACATACGATGATGGTGGTTGAGATAATAAGAACTGGGATTATCATGAAAAGTGGTGGTGTAGTTATGGTGACAGGTATCAAGGAAGGGGTAGTGATAGGGGTTGGGGTAGGCCTGGTCATAGCTGGGAGTAGCAGCAGCAGGATGGGCTAGGGGAGAAGACATGGGGGTAGTTTTAAGGGAGGAACAGAAGCAATGATAGTGAAGATGATTGCTCTGTGTGTTGCAGTGAAGGGGGACAAGAAGGGAATGCAAACGAGAGCGAGACTGGGCGCAGGGCGAGGGAGGCACAGACAGGGACAGTAGAGATCATAGTCTGTACAGAGGCCCCTTATTGTGTGTAACATCTGCGTTACGCAGCGTTTGATATCTCCACGCTAAAAATGGGTCACGCCAGTTGCCTCACCTATGCCTGGTGGGGTGGTATGTCGTCAGCAAAGCAATGGGGATTAGATCACCTCATCCTTCTCTGATATCCATCAATTCACTACAATTGAGAACCCGATTTAACCACGGGTGGCTGAACCCGGATTCAAACCCAGCGGTGACAGCTCAGCTCTCCCATGTGTGAGCCACACTGCCACCGCTGTTGGGAAAATGTCAACGTGCATCATTCCTCATGGAGAGGCTGGGTGAATGGGCAACTGTTTTCTGGTGTTTAGTGCTGTGGTGCCTTGGCCGACTGATCTGACCTGCCTGCCCTTATGCTAAAAAATGTCACACGTTTGCAGTACAGAGGTTGTTCAAGTTTCTCTGCGTAGAATGTCAAGCAATGACAAGGCATTCACCATTGGCCCAGGCCCTTTGCCTACGTCTGGTATTGTGATCGGTGTTGTCGTGTTGGCGAGTTCTTTCAAGTCGTACCCTGCGCAAAAGTTTCCACCTGGAATAAAAACAAAAGTACATTATAGTACGCACATGCAATTTACCAAGGCTCTTTGGAATTACGTTCGCAAGAACGTTACGAACGTATATGAAACAGTAGCTAGCGTATTCTCCGCATTATAAGACGCCACAAAGTAAGACGCACCCCCCTCCCCCAAACCTGTGCCCAGTGTCAATAAGTTAAAAGTAATTTGCTGCTCAAATGAGCATTGAAGCATTTGTACTTATCTCTTGGTTTACAGCCCAGCAGAGCCAGTGGTAGAAATTCAACGTTGCTATGGCAGACGTCAGTGTATCCAAAGGGTAAATTAAACTGCACAAATTGTTAATTTGAAAACAGAGCGAGTTAATATGCTTACTGTATAGTAAAACAAACCAATGTAATAATATTTGTGTCAGACCATATGGGTACGGCAACCATCTCCTAGTAAACCTACTCGCAGCAATAACGATCCGCTTGATATGGCACGGCCTGTCAGCGAAACTAATGCAGTCAGATCCACCGGTCTGCTCATGTGAAATAATAATAAACAGATGCTCTTTATGGCCAGGTGTCAGCCCATTGAGATTCGTGGTAATTTTTTTCAAGTAACGTAAAATCAGCTGGTATGCTCCTCCACTGGATGGTCTGAGGAGACATTAACAACTCAAATAATGAATATAAACAACTTTTGAACATTGATACAATCATAAATAATCTTAACGGAAATGTTTTTTCATTGAATGGGTTTTGTTACACAGAGTAAATATGTTGTTAGATAAATTTTTCACATGATTGTAATTATAAGAATGTACTCAAATCGGAGTGGTGATTGTATTCCGGCTGAAAGATTGTACTCTTTCAAGGCCCTAAACCATGGGGTATTTCCCAGTGTCCTTTCATGTCCAGCGGAATTTTGGATTGTTAAGTACAAGGCCATCGAGGAGGCGGCTCGGAAAGTCGTGCCTCCCAATTATTTGTCCATGCTCGCTTCTGTTGGGGGTGATCATGAAGCAATTGCTCACAGCTAGCAGGGAGCGCAAAGTGGAAAACTACGACTCGCTTGCCCCTGGAGCGCTCCCCGGCACTCGCTGTGCACGAACAACCGCCTGCGCTATTTATTTTTAGCACGAGCAGTGGGCCGTACCAAATAGGTGATCTCAACATGCGAGGGGAATGCGGCGACGGGCCAAGATTGCATCACGCAAACATCTGGGTTTTTCAAATTTATGCTGGGCTCCCGGTAATAATACGGTCACTAAATATCCATTAATTTTGTTTAACGTGGAGTGTCTAATGCGTTACAATGCTCGTCTCTTAACACGATGCGCCTTCGTATCTCTCAACTTTGCGGAGGCGCCGACCTCCACCTACTCGGAATTCTTCTCTCATACAGTTCCTCACCAACGCTTCTGCCAAAAACCCTTGGGCCCAGCCTTCATCGTACAATCATTCATCGTAAATGTTACACCTTGTAATAACATTGGCACTGAATAGTATAATCATGATGTCATTATGTGATCATGATAAAATGTTAAAACACCAAACTGAAACCTTTGCAAGGAATCGTGTCTGCATTTACCACATTTACTTGTGGTGAACATGCAAACAAAAAAACATGCTCTGACAGTATATGGTGCATTGCCTTTAAAAATGATTGGTCCACACCAGAGACAGCTTTCTTTAGAGCCGAGTCTCAAACAGTGTTAGACCAGAGGACGCCAAAAGGTGAATAGCAAAAAGACAACGCACTATCAGGACATTGAGAGCTCGGGGTGAGCAGCTACATTATGAGACCTCCTTTGCCAGCATTAAATTATGATAATATGGTTTTCTCCATTCTGGCAATACAACGGGTGTGTTAAGATGTTTAAAACACCAAACTGAAACCTTTGCAAGGAATCACGTCTGCATTTACCACATATACTTGTGGTGAACATGCAAACAAAAAATACATGCTCTGACAGTATGTGCATTGTCTTTGAAACTGGTAAATTCGACACGATTCCTTGCAAAGGTTTCAGTTTGGTGTTTTAACATATCAACACGTGTTTTATTACCAGAAAGGGGAAAACCCTATCATCATACTTTAAAACTGGCAAAGGAGGTCTCATGATGATCATGAAAAAATAATCTACTTAAAGAATTTTGACATTTTTAGCGTACGACCTTAAAATCATAAAACGACGGGTGTTTCGTAAGTCGTGCGCACGTATTGGGGGCGCTGGTTGTACGCGGAGTCGAGCATGTTGGGGAGGCATTAAAGGCTAGAACAGCCTTGGGGGGCGTGGGGGGGTGTCTGGGAATAGTGAGTCAGACAAAATCTACCGAAATAAGTGCCGACAAATGCTAATTGGAGCATAAAGGTTCTGCTTTATGTGCTAGGATGGGAACACCATCTTTGACACATTTTATATACATGAAAGCATTAGCCTGTGAGGGCTTAACTGGGGAGAATGGAAAGCAGTTTAATGGCATTCCAGCACTGTGCTTCAATTGGAAAGGGTTAATAATAGTGGCTGTGTCATGTACTCCTGAAGGGCTTCTGTATGCACGTAACATTGGGGACTGTACAGTATGTGTAAGTGATGGTCTTGCAGTTCTGATTGGGAACGCGTTGAATATTTTTTTCAGGTACCACCTTGAGAGATGCCATTGTGCAGATTTGGAAACTACAAGTTCCTCGCACCTGTGATGTACATCTACTTGGCCAAGTCAAACGTTCAAGATAAACGTTTAGCAATTAGCCCATTACCCACGACTCCCATTATCCCCTGCAGCCATTGGATCTGCAAACCAAAACTCATCACGGATCTATATTTCCTATTATCCGAGCTTAATCCCTGGATGTTTTCCTGTAGATAAGTGGAATACCGTTGCGAATAACCCCATGGGTAACAGGAGCTGCAAAATTGGTCCCCGCAAATCTCCACGCAGAAGAGGTCTTCTGTAAAAAAATGTTATAATTTATCCCTCTTACCAACGACAACCAACCCATCGATCAAGACCTCAAGAGTGTACCTCGCTACCGGCTCAAGTGCCGATCCCCCTTCTGGGATGTCGCTGTGGGGCCGTCCATAAATTACACACGGCGTCACAAAAAGTCAGACCCCCCCCTCAAATATGACGTCACAAAGCTCTGCCCCCCCCCAAAAAAAAACATGCTTCAAATCGCTTTAAACTATTGTCATTGTAGTGCGTATTTAATGTGGCGTTGCACTCTGATGTTGTAGGAGAATTTTTGTATTAAAAAGTATATTTAATTCAGTAGAACGTGTTGTCTATATTTATTGAAAGTTGCGCATTTTGATGTGACGTCACATTTCTCAAACCCCCACCTCGTCACAAATGTCTGACCCCCCCCCCCCCCCCTAGGTGCGTGACGTCATTTATGGACGGCCCCTGTTGTCACCATCCTAGAATCTCACCCACGTCGGGAAGAACGCCGGAGAACGGAGTGGAACAACGCGGAGGTCCAGAATAGACATCCGCTCAAGACCAAAACATCGCAACCTCCTGGCCTTGACATTCCTCGAAGGCACTTTTGTGATCATCAACCACAACAGAACATGCATCAACTGATGAGCGACAGTGCGTTTTTTGGCCATGTAACCAAACCTATGAACCATTACTTATAACTCACTCTACTCCGTGCTCCTTCACTTGAGGAACAGCGAAACGAATTGTCTCCTGAACTTACCAATGCCGTGCAGAACCAGCACGAGCAGATCATCGTCCTCTTCAAACGCGGTGAACGCTTCGTGGAGCCGCTGGGCCGCCTCTGCGTTGACGCAATTACGGACATGAGGCCGGTTTATTCCGACCGACAGAATGTTGCCGTGCCTCTTACTCACAACTGACCCTGTACCTGAAAAAACAAAAGAGTACAAATGTTAATTTATATACGTGAATATTTTCGACTTGTAACGCGCCGCAAAAGGTATTCGCGTGCTCTCGTAGCGAGAGAGAGAGAACGACTCGAGAGGGGTGAGGAACTCCGGACGAGCAAGAAGGCGGCCGGGCACCAACAGTTGCCCAAGTTCAGTGGCCCTCTATATATTAAGGTGTTACCGGCCAATTAGGTGGTCGCGAAGCAGCATTTGCCCCAACATTCTGGTCAAGGCTATACGGGGGCGATCTTTGTCTTTGGACACCGGAGCACTCGGCGAACACCCACCCACGCGTGCGAGGGGGAAACACTCAATCCCATGCAGACGGAACGGGTGGGGCCCACGTGTCTGCTTGCACCCACGCGTGCGAGGGGGAAACACTCAATCCCATGCAGACGGAACGGGTGGGGCCCACGTGCCTGCTTGCACCCACGCGTGCGAGGGGGAAACACTCAATCCCATGCAGACGGAACGGGTGGGGCCCACGTGCCTGCTTGCACCCACGCGTGCGAGGGGGAAACACTCAATCCCATGGAGACGGAACGGGTGGAGCCCATGTGTCTGCTTGCACCCACGCGTGCGAGGGGGAAACACTCAATCCCATGCAGACGGAACGGGTGGAGTCCACGTGTCTGCTTGCACCCACGCGTGCGAGGGGGAAACACTCAATCCCATGCAGACGGAACGGGTGGAGTCCACGTGCCTGCTTGCACCCACGCGTGCGAGGGGGAAACACTCAATCCCATGGAGACGGAACGGGTGGAGTCCACGTGTCTGCTTGCACCCACGCGTGCGAGGGGGAAACACTCAATCCCATGGAGACGGAACGAGTGGAGCCCATGTGTCTGCTTGCACCCACGCGTGCGAGGGGGAAACACTCAATCCCATGCAGACGGAACGGGTGGAGCCCATGTGCCTGCTTGCACCCACGCGTGCGAGGGGGAAACACTCAATCCCATGCAGACGGAACGGGTGGGGCCCACGTGTCTGCTTGCACCCACGCGTGAGAGGGGGAAACACTCAATCCCATGCAGACGGAACGGGTGGGGCCCACGTGTCTGCTTGCACCCACGCGTGCGAGGGGGAAACACTCTATCCCATGCAGACGGAACGGGTGGGGCCCACGTGTCTGCTTGCACCCACGCGTGAGAGGGGGAAACACTCAATCCCATGCAGACGGAACGGGTGGAGCCCATGTGCCTGCTTGCACCCACGCGTGCGAGGGGGAAACACTCAATCCCATGCAGACGGAACGGGTGTGGCCCACGTGTCTGCTTGCACCCACGCGTGCGAGGGGGAAACACTCAATCCCATGCAGACGGAACGGGTGGGGCCCACGTGTCTGCTTGCACCCACGCGTGCGAGGGGGAAACACTCAATCCCATGCAGACGGAACGGGTGGAGTCCATGTGTCTGCTTGCACCTACGCGTGCGAGGGGGAAACACTCAATCCCATGCAGACGGAACGAGTGGAGTCCACGTGTCTGCTTGCACCCACGCGTGCGAGGGGGAAACACTCAATCCCATGCAGACGGAACGGGTGGAGTCCATGTGTCTGCTTGCACCCACGCGTGCGAGGGGGAAACACTCAATCCCATGCAGACGGAACGAGTGGAGTCCATGTGTGTGCTGCACTGCCTCCCCCTGGCGAACCAGGGTACACGGCTCCTCCTGGGGTTGTTGAAGTTTGACGTCGATTTAACGCCTGGAGGCTGTTTTGGCCGTCCCCGACTTACGCACGCACTCACGAACCTTGACCGCGGAACTATTTTGTTAAGCGGAGCAATCCTCAACGAGAGTGAAGTTTGTGCGTGCGCGCGAGTGCGTGGGGGTGACGATTATCTGAACCGGTCCTGGGCCTCCCCTAGGTCGACTCAGCCTCAAATGAGTACCTGGTGCGACGTGTAAACATCGCTACTAGGGAGACAAAGGCGGCCGGGCGTGGCGTTGGCCACCCACCCCCTTCGTATGCCACAGTGCCGGCCTTCGTAGGTGCTTCTCGCTAACAGCACTTGCCCCTACAGTCTGTTACAGGCTACACGGGGGATCTTTGCCATTGTGTGCGTGCATCCACCACGGTCACCTGGCTCCCCGTGCGTGCAGAGACCCCTCGACCCGGGGACGCGACAGAGGCGCCCAGCAGCGGAGACACGGGAGAGAGGGGGGACACGGGAGACACGGGGCAGCAAGGAGACACAGACACGGGAGAACCAGCAATCATCATCAGGGCGTCTCGGCAGGAGATTCATCCTGACGGCATGACGTTTCAGCAGGAGCGTCATCCTCACGGAGCCGATGTCCCTACAGCAGTACTGGATACAAAAAAATAAGAAAGCATAGAACAAAAAGAAGAAATAACAAAAATGAAAAAAAAACTAAGAAAAAAAATTATTAGAAAAAAGAAATAATAAAGAAAAAAAAGAGAAAAAATAAAAGGACACACACACACACGTGTTTGTGTGTGTGTGGGAGACGAGAGAGTGGGCCCTGCCAGTCGATTCGATTCCCGTGTCGCGCTCACGGCGAACTCGTTGTCGATTCAGGAATCTGGGTCAAGTTTCAAGTGCAATTGGTGTTACCAGGTGAGACTCGAGAGAGACTGAATCAGGATCCTGTATTTATTTATACTGGAGGAATCCGATGAGCTATAAAGCTCTTTTTTACATATGTATAAAAATATACCTACTGGGGGAATTCGATGAGCTGTATAAACTCAACTTTTAATTTACCAGGTAAGGCCCACTGAGCTAAAAAGCTTTTTCAGAAGCGACCTGGCCACAAATGATAGCTCAGCGAAGTGGCTTATCATCGTGTGCACATTTATAGCACCTAAATACTCTAAATGCACGCATCTAAATGTGGTGGGAAAAACCAGAGGACCCGGAGAAAAATCCACACGGCCACAACATGCAAACTCCAAATATACAGGTGTCAGGGTCAGAATCGAACCCACGACCTCCTGTATACCAAGGCGAGGTAGCATCTCACCACCGTGGCACCATGAAGCCCCAATTATATTGTCATCCCTTGCACCGATCTCTCCCCTATCTTGTTTATACTGCTGCAATGCCTTCACGATCTCTTTACAAATTTTCCTCGGCCATGCTTTTGGGTTTCCAACTTTGCACTTCAGTCAATGGTGGCATCCCCAAGCCCCTGAGGATTAACGCCTGGCGTGACGTCAGGCGGCAACACAGCTTGACTTTTCAGCTTTTATGAGCTGCTTTGAAGTGAAACCATAGTAACCCTTGAGGTTAAACTAAAAAAAATGCATTTCCAAATATGACTTCAACTGTACGGAGTTATGTCACAAGATTATGAAACTGTCACACAGAACTCTTTAAGTCACAAAAACAGCCCTAAATGTTGACATCACAGGACCACTTCTTCAGTCCGTTTCTGTGCATAGGAGATGCAAACTTCGTGTCCTGCAAATGGCGTTGATCACACAATAGAATCCCACTTAAAAAGTTTCCACAATTCACAAGCGTTATATCACTAAAAATGTTTAATGACACCAGTGTGACGAATAATTATAATAATCAACTCATTACATTTATTGCACAGGAACAAACTGGAATGAATCGATGCGTATATATAATACACCACAGTTTTAATGAACAGAGAATTGCATCTTTATACAAAATGTACTCATAATTCTCAACAATATAATCCATTTGTTTTAAGGAGCATACATTCATGTTACAGAGGGCATTGCTTTCATTTGTACTTCTCGTTCATTTCTGCTTCCAACTTGATCAAGTATTCAAAAAATCGTTCGGCATCCTCCAGATTAACGTTCATCTGCAACGACAAACATCACATTAAAAAACAAAACCTGAGTATTTTTCTCAACTCATTTTATCTCAATGTCAATAACCCCCTTCCACCCCCCACCACACACAATCGTTGGACTATCGTCCTTGAACACCGTTTCACTTGCATCCACAAGGGCAAAGTGAAAGTGTTTTTTTTCCTGCTCACATAAGCGTTGAGATGGCCCTCCGCCAGCAGTACAAATTACACATTCCAAGGCCATTTGCCCCACAGCACCGACTGCCTGTGCTGACTTCACAAATTAGTGCCCAATTTATCAACTTCGGATGGGTGACAGTTGTGTCAAACCTTGACGAGGAATTCAGAAACCTTCCCAATTTGCGCGTCAAGCACTTCAAGAATGGCACCTGGCCAGATAAATATCGATTGTAAGTTACATTCCGCTTGCAAACCACCAGCTGGAAGACGGTCTCTCCACGTAATTCCCAACGTGAGGGTTGTTTGACCATACTTCAATATGCAGGTCATTGTGGGTTGGTAAAAAGGAGGCGGGCCAGAACCGGTGAGGATAGAACCTGCCACCCATGCTAGCCGTGCCCAGGATTCAAACTCAGGTCACTTGGTTTATTGTGGAATGTGCTCACCACTGTACCATCACTCCAGCCTATTACTTATTTAGAGACTATAGCAAAGCACACATTACAGGATTAATAATGTAGAGACAATTAACAAATGAACACCTTGTACATTTGGTATTGTGTCCTGATAATCAGTCTGGGTGAATCCGACTTTTATTTTGTATGTCACTATTCATTTTGGTCCACAAGGCTTATTCGGTCAATTTAACTTCATCTTCATACGACATTTAAATATGCATTATTCACAAACAAATATCATGAAACCTTATTATATTGAATGTTTTCAAATGTGTGTTTAGTAACCTGAGCGAGGGCTATTAGTGTACATGCGTATACAAATGCCACATGTGCCCATGTGCGTATCAAACCTTGTCAGCCTGAACATAGTTTTTGCCCATTCCTGACGTGGAGCTTTTGTATTTGACCAGTGGATCCAACGTGACTGGCTTCTTTCCAAACAACCACACCTGGAACACACGTGTGTGCCACACCAAGGAAATGAACGATGACTCCACCGTTCACGAATCGATATGTGAAAGTTTGTGCGCCTTTTGGCGTCATCTGGTCCAACCCATATGAGACTAGGCTCGAAGGAAAGCTGTTTCGGGTGTGGACCAATCAACTTCAAGGACAGTGCACATTATCAGAGTTATGTCTTTTGTTTGTATTTATGACTGCAGGTATTGCGGTCTATGCAAACATGACTCCTTGCAAAAAGGTGTCAGTTTTGTTGCCAGATAGAAGGGTAAAGAACCAATTATCATGTGAAAGTTGTTTTACGATTGATTTACTGTCTCATCTGCACAAGAGAGAGAGAGAGGGCTTGCCACATGGCATCAAGAAAAAGTAATTGTGCATGTTTATTGCCTGAATTATGCATCGCCGCTGGCAGAAAAAAACACACATTATTTGTTTAATGCAATAAAAATAGGATGTACTCACCAGAGCTTCAGCACCATTTTTTGGAGATAAAGTATAACTGTTCGTGAAAATCCTGATCTAATAGAAATCAAAAAAATATGATTACAATTAATCATGTTTGAGATGTTCCATTTAGCAATGCTGGCAGAGATATTCAGGGTAACTCTGTGTTTTTATTGCGTAAAGAAAATGTTAATCATGGAAACAAACCCATCAAGGCAGTGGTTAGCATGCTATAAAATGAACCTGTCAACCTGAGTTTTTAGTTTTATTCCCGGCTATTGCGGACATCAGCGGCGAGTGCTATCTGAACTGGTGCTGACCCAAACCCTCTCCCTTCGCCAAACACGCACTGAAAAGTGTGCATTATCAAACAACTCCCAGAAATAATGTAGCTTTGGGAGGCCTTCACCCAACAGTAGATTAATAAAGAGCTGTATATTATAAAGTTTGAACTCAACTAAAGAACAGTGTCACACCATCAGTGTCAATAACAATTTTAAGATCACTTTCGTCACACCTATTGCTCTCACGAGGCTGCGATGAATGTAGACGTAACGCGAGAAAGAAAATCACATTCAAGTGTGCGGTCTGTGTTGTGTAGGTGGGGATGTAATATCAGTGCATATAGTGTGTGAGTAACATTACCAGCCACATGATTGGAAGGATAAGAGTCCAGAAGAAGGCAGGCAATATGTTGTATGTCATATTTGTCATTACCAAACCAGGGCACACCACACTCGAGTACAGTCCCTATAAAGACACAGGCGTACATATAAGTTCCCATCAAAACACAAATTAAAATGCAATCTTTTAAATATCAATTGAAGTTGTAATCGAGGAAACATGTATGACAGCGCTTGCATGAGCACGTTAGAGTACCTTCTCATTGTACTGCTGGTTGAGTGCCACGCTCAGTAAATCGACTGCGTATTTCGACGAGCTGTAGGGCTCACAGCCTTTCTTGTGTTGAGGATCACTGGCATCGAAGGCTGACGCTCTTGCGTTGCTCGAAGAAGTCCACACAAGCTGCGATGGCGTGTCCGGACGACAAAGCAAATCCTCCAATTGACGTATCTTGAGAACACGCGCACACACACAGAACGTTCTGCATACATTATTTAACTAGAAACACACACAAACAGGAATGTGAGGATTCCATAACAATTAAATAACATGGAACAAAAATGCCCTCGTAAACTTATGGTTTATAACTGCACAAACCTGGGCTACATAAATACATACATTTAACACTCTTTGTTTTTTTCGGTAAAGTCACGTAGGTAAAAAAATAAAATAAAATATATGAAATCACGACGTTTCGGAGGCAATAATTTTGCTGTGACGGTGCCACCTGAAGACGGAAGCTTGTCTTGCCTCCGAAACGTCGTGATTTAATTAATATGAATTTTATTTTTTTACCTATGTGACTTTACCCAAAAAAACAGAGTATAGACCCTTGCAGTCACGAAAACTTCAAATCTAGAATTACATTTAAGACGTAGGGCTTTTCGCGACCAATATTATCATAAAGTTTGTTTGGGTTAGATTGGCAGTACCTCGCTGGGTGAGAAATGCAACATATTTTATTCAATAACAGAACAATAAAAACCTACAAGTCTTCAATAGAATGGAAGAGCGTCGAGTAGATTAAAAATGCATGGTTTCCCGTGACCTAACAGTAATGCATGGAGCGTGCAGCGCACTAACCAAGATAAAATGCCCAAAGACATTGGTCGTGAAGACGTTCTGCAGACCATCTTCATTCACGCTGTCTTCTTGGGTTAGCAGCCCCTCACCCGTGGCAAACATCCTTACAACATTCCTAATCATCATCACACACACACACATGCACGCGCCACTTGTAAAAATCACTAAAAGCACTTACCATTAAGCTAGGCAAATTGTAACCATTTAACGGACACTCTATCTGAAGCGTAGAATACACGATACCTTCCAACAGTTGATAAGAGATAACATTTACACATCGACCTTCTTGCCACTCTCACTGGTTTAGTTCCAGGTATTTCATCCCGCGCTGTGTTTCATGCCGGGGTATTTCACCGCTTGTGCAGTTGGGTTG